AAGGATCTGGGAACTTTAGGAAAGCACGTATCTAGACGTAAACTAGGATTAGATACGTAAAATGGTCATAGTACTGCCATCTAACAACGGGAGGTCGAACCAATTTGGTTTGAAGGGCGGTGTCAAGCTGACCAATCAAGCAAAGAACAGTACCTTTAGGGATGATCCTATTGGCGAAGTACCGAATGCACCACCCTTCAACACTGTAATGTTGGAACCTCGGGGCTGTTTTAGGCAGAAAAGTTAGTTCGGTTTAAGTTTCTAAAAGAGACGGTTCTCCCTCGGGTTCGCGAAATTCGGTAAGGTTCACGATGTGACCCCTGTAGGTTTTAAGTCTGGTGTCTGCTAATAGTATTTTTTTATCGTCAAATGTTTTTTAATTTCTGTTTTTAATTTTCTTCTCTAAAATTATTTTAATGTGTTGTAGTAAGTTTTTAGTAATGAAGGTTCCATTGATTATGTAATTATCAGATTTTTCAACAAAGCAGACACCAGACAATTTTTCTTGTATCTTTCCATCTATTTTCCATTTTTAGTAATAAGTAATTTCGATCATATATATATTTTTTTTTATTTGTTCTTTATTTTTCTTTTTAATATTAAATTTAAATGTTTCTCTAAAAACTCGGCCGTTTTTATTTCGATAGTAAAAAATAAGAGTGTTTTAAAAGTATATAAATAAGATCCTTATGAACGGGCAGAATATCTCCAGAGCAGTCCCGAAAAAGTCTCGAGAAATGAGCTACATATTTACAGACAGAGGTCGGGCCGCAATTAAGGTAAGTTTTAATAGATTTGAGAGACTAACAGCACTAAGACAAAGCATTAAACATACGCTCCAAAGAGTCGGTGTACTTTTTATCCAAGTTTGCCTTCCGTTCAACTTAATTGTTTTTTTTATAATTATAAAATAGTCACGCTACCCATAGACAAGTGATTAATCCGAAAAGATTTGTCACACGGGGATTGTTTTATTACGTCAAATTGCATTCGTTTTTCAATTTAAATGTATTATTATAAGCTTAAAAAAAAATATGTTATCGTTTTTGATACCTTTTTGAAGCTGGGGCCCTCGAGGGGGCCCTTAATTCTTTGGTCGGGGCTCCGTCAGCGTCGGGTCCTCAAAACGGCACTGCCGATGAATAACATATTTATATCTACAGTATGTCCGCGGATGGTCTTTATAAAAACGTTTGCTTGTTCTAAAATGGTAATTCCTGTTTATACTTATCCAAATTTCCATACCGTTTTAGAGAAAAATAAAAAAAACATGAAAATGTAGTTGAATTTTTGAACTAGTAAAAATAAAACGCCTTTCTATGGTAATATAATTTCGTGATAATTTTTTGATAGATTATTATTGACAGAATTTTAATTAAAGTTATATTTTTTGCTGTTTTAAAATGTTAAAGAAGCACAACATTTATTTAGTTCAATGCTACGGAAAGGGTGATAATAGTTATCGGAAAATGTGATATTTTAACATCAAAAAATATGACGTTAATCAAAATGAATTCTAACGATCTATCAAAAAATGAAATCGAAATTATATTACCATAGCGTTTTAATTTTTAGGACTTTTAGTTTTCTTTAGGATTTTTTTGGGGAAAAATTACATTAAAAAAATACATTTTTATGTTTTTTTATTTTTTCTAAAACGGTATGGATATTTAGAAAATTATAAACGCCATTTTACAACAAGGAAAAATTCTTATGAACGCATTTTTTTCAAAAAGTCAATAATTAAAAAGTTTTTCCTCTTGTAAAGAGAATCCGGGAACATACTGACTGTAATATAGAGGGTGTCCCAGAAATAAGTAGGTACAAGTATTTTATGGTAGTATAGTTCAACCCCAGAAACACGCCTATGAGGTTTTTTTCGCGAAAAAACAATTGAAAACTTCGGGAATTTTTTAGATTTTAGTTAAAAAACATAATTTCTTGTTAATATGACAACATAGGTATTAGATTAAATTTACAAGAGCAATTTTTTTTTGTATATTTTCAAAGTAACACTCCGAACAACCCAAACTCCGTTATTTTGGACTTATTTGAAAAACGATAAAGAAAAAATATGGTTCTTTTATCTACCACTCCTTAAAATACTTGTACTTATTTCTGTGACACCTTGTATATATATCGATTTTTATTACATTTAGTACAGTATATAAATACTTGAAATTTGTCAACCATTATTCATACGTCATTCAATCTTTACAAAATGTGCAGACCGAGGGCGACATTTTGCTTTGCCGCCCCGGGCCCCCGACAGGCTTAGTCCGCCACTGAAATTGTGGCAATAAAGTCAACATCTAGACGTCATTTACATGTCAACAATTAACACTAATAGAGGATTATAATTATTCTATAATAGAAAGAATAGAAAAGGATAGAACGTTTCCAGACAAAGAAATCTATTTCCAAAAAAATATTTTTCTCGACCATTTAAAATCATTTTTACTCAATATAAAAATAAATTACAACTTTCTTAAGCCCAACTTGCAGTAAAAGCCATTAAAAAACAAACGAGTACGGGCCAAGAAAATGACGTCTAGGGCTTGACCAAAATTAGGCTCGATTGTCATTCCCCAGTCGACTTTGACGCCGTTTTTCTTCGATCGTATGGTATTATATTATTAATTAAGTGCAAAAATATTCACAGCTCGTAAATTTCCATAAAAGAAATATATTTTCATTTTGCTGTTTTTCAAATAAGTTCAAAACAGCCGAGCTATTTTACTTAAATTTTAACTACTGTGTTAATATTTTTTAATCCTCTAGATTTAATCTACTATCTACAGGGTTCGAACTTTATTACGGAAACTTCGGCAGCATATTCTGCAGATAAAAATAAGTAAAAAAGTTCGTATAAATGTATGTTCTAAAATGCTTAGTTTCGGAGATACAGGGTGTAGAAGTTTTATTAATATTTCGATTTTTTCCAAATAATCTCTGAAATAACGTTAATATTTGGATGAAAATTGGTGACTGGGAGTTTTTTGACATGAGAGATTTGATTTTGATGTCAATATGACTACTAAAATGGTTAAACAAAGTAGAGGGCGTCACCTATATATTTTTAACTGGTTTGAAAAGTAATAAATACCCTTTCGTCCGTACCTGTATAAAACTAATAGAGGATTATAATGAGTAAAAAAAATACACATTTACGACGTTTTTTACGTAAAAAAGGTCTCTTGGTAAAAATAACTAGGAGTGAGATATTTTGGGTTCTCGAGATATTTGGAATCAAACTTATCAATACCTGTCATCATTGACATAAATTAAACATATTGCCTAAACAGTTCTTAGACTGAATTCATAAATTTGAAATGTTTTTGTGGCAAAAGTTCAACATAAACTGTTTTATCATCATATTTTCGAAGAAAAATTTATGATTAATTTAAAAAAATAAAAAGTTCCCAAATTTATTATTTCAGTCAAATAGCTATCTACTCAACATATATGTTTATTTTTGTCAATAATGACAAGTATTGACTATTTCCATTCTAAATATCTTGAGATAGGTTGCTCTAAAAAAATCACGGAAATGTATATTTTATTTTTCCACTCGGTAGTTTTATACAGGTACGGACGAAAAGTTATTACTCTTCAAAACAGTTAAACCACATGTAGTTGTCGCCCTGACAAATAGGTATATAATACAATAAATCATATTGACATCAAAATTAAATTTCTCCTGTCAAAAAGCTCCCAGACACCAATTTTCATCCCTTTGAATAAGAAGACTAAGGAAGGAGCATAATGCTATCCATGTATTCATGCATGGTGGGCGGAAAAAGCTCTCTAGGGTGGGGATCCTTGACAGTTCTGTTTGACGATTCATTTGACACATTTGAATTTGATTTGAAATTTTGTGGATTTGTCAATCTTTACGGAGATTATTTTATGTTATTCATTATTTATTCTACTACTGATAGTTGTATAAAGGTAGTAAATCTAGATGGAAATTGTGGCAGAACTTAAATTAACAGTGACACTATCGCGATTTATCGAAAAAGACTCTAAAATAGTTGGTTGTGGAGCGTGCGGTAGATCTCGGCAAAAATTGAGTGAAATAATGGAACAACTTTTAAGTGACTATATAATATACATACGTGTAGTAAACCGATCATTTATGAAATTCACTTAAATTAACTAAATTATATATTTTTCTTGCATTTTAGTTTTTATTTATTACTTGTCAAAGATGAGATGTCAAAGAATTTAGATACGTTAATTTGACTTACCTGCTTCAGTAGCGTATCGGATGTTTGTGCTAATAAATACTTATTATAACTTATCTATTTTTATTAGAATTATATATTTTTATAACAATTTTAATAACTACAACATTTATTCACACCGTAAAATAAAACAACAAACTATTGAGTCTACCCCACGTCTACCCTACATCATAGTTTTACATTTTTTAAATAAAATTAGAACGACACTGATAAACCGGAATTTAAGTCGGCCATATTTGAGGCCCATCGCGGTGTACCTAAGATTTTTGATATGCTCCTTCCTTAGTCTTCTTATTCAAAGTTTCATCCAAATATTGACGTTACTTCAGAAATTATTTGGAAAAAATCGAAATAAAATGAAACTTCTACACTCTGTAGCTCCAAAACTAAGCATTTTAGGACCTACATTGATACGAACTGTTTTACTTCATTTTATGTGCAGAATACGCTGCCGAAGTTTCCGGAATACAATTCGGACCACCCTGTATATTGCCAATTTATCAAGATATTATGTTTTTTAACAGAAAATTAAAAAATTTCAATTTATTTCATAAAAAAACCTCACAGACGTGTGTTTCACGGGTCAAAATATACCACCCCTAAAAATATTTTATACTTATTTAAGGCTCACCCTGTATAGTTGATCTAATAAAAAGTTTTTTCAATTTCAATATATGCGGTTTCGATGTACAGGGTGTTTTCAAAGTAACCTCCACGTAAAACGAGGCATTCCTGTACTTTTTCTCAACTTACATAAATGTTAAAAGCGAAAATATATTCGCCTTTTCTTTAGGGTTTTGTTTTCGGATTTCCTTCCCCGAAAAATCCATCTTCCTACGCTATTTTTCCATTCACTATATCACTAAATTTCACCCCGTATACGTTTACGAAATTTTCTTAAGTAAGGCTAATATTTCACAACTGACTACCACGCGATCACCACCACAAACAAAAAGCTTCAAAAATTCTGAACCTGGGATATTTATTCGACATTAAAAATTTTGCGTCAAAGAATAATGTCTGCAATTTACACAGAGATTACGGGAATTACAATACAGTAAAATTAGACGAAAAAAATCCTTTCGCATTGTCAGTTAAGACTATGCCAATGCAGTCTTTGTATTGTTTGTTCAATTAATAACTGTTTTTAAAATAATGTTACAGTGTTTAGAAATAATTTGTTTTAAAATTGTTTTGTTTCTAAAGTACCATACGATCTAAAAAGAAACAGCGTCAAAGATGGTTGGGGAATGACAATCGATAATAATTTTGGCGAGGTCAAGCCCTGGATGTTATTTACTTGATGGCGCTTACTGCCAGTTGGTATTAAAAAGGTTGTAATTTATTTTTATATTGAATAAAAATTATTTTTAAATGGTGTAGTTTAAAATTCGAGAAAAAAAAAATTTACAAATAGATTTGTGGGTCTGGAAACGTTATTCTTTTTTAATCTTTCTTTAATTAGTGTTAATTTTTGACAAGTTTTGTGTAAGGTCAATTTTTAGTTAATGACGTCTAGAGATTGACCTCGTCAAAATAAACATGGATTGTGATTTCCCAGCCGTCTTTGACGCCGTATTTATTTTCGATCATGCGGTAAATTCATTAAGCTAAAAGCCAAAATATCACAGTATTTTTATTTCCATACAAAAGAAATTGAAAGAGCGCAAGATTAATACCTGCAATTTATTCATTATTAATTTATGTTGGTCAAAAACATTGATATAGGCCGAAGGCGACCGAAGATTTCGCATATGCCCCGCCTTAATACAATACAACTACGACTTAGGTCGCGTCGATAGCAAACGATGAGTTAGACAGAGACAGAAGACTTTCGTGTGTCGTGCATCGACTTTAACAGATGATATAGAAATCGCCGAACAAAGGCGTTTGCAGTATACTCCAACGGTCAAAATTATTTTGTTTTCTACGCAGCGGCACAGTCAGCGTACGCCAGCGGTAGTAAATATTTTAATATACAAGACCAAAAATATTAAATTAATATTGATTATTACAACACACTTCCGTGTATTAACAGTATTTTTATGTAAAACATATCTATACCTACGTGGCGGATTCATCTCTCCAAAAAAATCCTCTATTAGTATTTCGCAAGAAAATCTACAAAATATAATAGTTATTTTTTGTAAACACTGCTGCTTTAATCCAACGGAGACTAATTGTCAGTAGTTAGGGTTACTGATAAACAAATTTGCTTAACGAACAAAAAAATGCTTAACGTTTCAGAAAGTTTGTCTCTTTCCGTCGTCGAACGCAAAAAAATACAAAGAATAAAGAAAAAACTATTTAATATAAGGAGGTTAGTAATGTATAGCAATCGCTTCTTAGGTTTTAAAGAACATAACATAAATAAACATAACATAGGTACGTAAAAATTAAAAACAAATTAAAAATAATCATACAGAAAGTTTGAAGCTTTTTGGATATACCTTTATTAAGTAATTGTTATCAGGTAGCGAGGGGGAATTTTGTTTTGTTTTGAGCTTTGATTTCCAAAACGTGGAGGTATCTGTACCGGAGGCAAAGGATTTTTTTCATAAATCTTAGTGATAAAAGTAAACCTAGAGGTTTCTAAAATAGCTATTATTAAGTTTCTAAAATTAGCTATTTTACGATGATATTTCGTTAAATACACCTTGTTTTATGTTATATCCTTTATTGATATATATTCCACAGAATTAACATTCGAATACGCGTTTAATAATAAATGCGTATTCATGTATAGTAGATATTTAGGAACAAAACTTTTTACTTTGCAAGTGCAGGAATATAATTACAATATTTTTATGATTTAATTTTATTATAATGAATTAGTATATAAAATTTTATATGATATGTTTGTTTACGGCCTTAATTGATTAAAAAAAAAGTAGTATTGCTTGATGAGTAATACTGGTAACATTATCAATATATCCGCTTGGTAAAATTATTAACTGGCCCGATGTCAACAAAAATGGTCCACGGACAGTATTTAAAAACAATGTTCTTTTATTGTTCTTAAGAGAAATCTCTGTAATGATACTATAAATCCATTCAACTAGTATTTATTATGCAGGGAACTTTGCTACAAACTACAGTATAAATGTTACTTTACCATAACCATATTATATATATATATATATATATATATATATATATATATATATATATATATATATATATATATATATATATATATATATATATATATATATATATATATATATATATAATATGGTTATGGTAAAGTAACATTTATACTTACATTAATATAACCATACCATATTTTTTTATTATATTGTAATTAATAATATTACACAATGATTAAAACTAATATCCTTGTGGAATCTTCGAGGAATAGCCAATATAATTTACCATACGTAACTGTTTTCATATATTTTTTTTCCATGTTTACTTATTTTTCTGAAGCCAAAACAACGTTTGACCTTGATTGCCTAGTGCTATTTCACAAAATAGCACGGATACAGGAATTGATTTTAGGGGGAGGCCCGGAATTTATTTTAGGGGGCCCAAATAAAAAGTAATGTAGAATATGCTTTTTAGAGCGTAATTTTTAACCCAACCCAATTTATAGATTTTGGGGGGGCCGTAGCCCCATGGACCCCCCTTTGTATCCGCCACTGATTATCCCGATTCGAATGAGATTTTGTGTGTCGGGTGCCTATGTTTTGCTAAGTGATTTAACATTTGACTTTTACAAAAATAAAGAAAAGGTAAGGGTGAAAACTACCCCCACGCCTACATACATTTTAGCATAAATATTTTCCAACTCAACCTATCACAGATTTTCTTTTTGTTTCTCTAGTATTTAGTTCATTTTTTGTCTCTTTAAAAATAACTTGCAAGACTGGGCCCTGCAAAACCAAGACTACAATAATTAGACGACCAAAAGAAGACTACAAAGACTACAATTAGAGACCAAGACAATGGGGGTCTTAGTCTTGCATTTGCTCATCATTATTTGTAAGTCAATTGTTTTGAAAATGACAATGTTTGATTTGTATTTTATTATTAAGGGGCTTAAAATAAAGCTAAAAATACTTAAGAGCAACATTCTATTTTATTAAACAAGGCGTATGTTAAAATTAACTGGTACAAACAATTTAAATTGATAGAATTTGTAGTACGCACAGTTTTCGTAAATTTAACATGCGCGGAATGAAACAAAAGCATTCAAATTGTGTTGTAGGATGTAATCACTTTTTCAATAAAATGGAGTAATCTTAAAAATATTATTAAATTAAAGAAATTATGAAATATTTGAATAATTGGAGAATATCACGTTAGAAACAGTTTAATGAACGGAAAATGGAATTTTGGCTGTCTTGACTTAAAGGTAATTATTTGGATTTAAGTCATATTGCCGACTTAACTCGCAGATCATCATGATTTAAATAAAACATATAGACTTAAGTCATAAAAACGACTTAAATTGCATTATAAGTCTTTACAAAATTGGTCAGAGTAGACCTTGTAAGGGTCAATATTATCTCTAACCGTGCCTTCAAAAATTATTGGATCTTGGGGTATATCGAAATACTTTTTCTTAGAAAACTAATAATATACAGATAGATGTAGAGATACAGTGGTAATATCGATATCGTCAATGAGTATTCTACCTTCACAGTCGTAGAGTCTAAACAGGGTTGAAATAATGGATGATTTTCCAGCACCAGTCCTTCCAACAATTCAAATTTTACTACATGGTTTTATAGTGACACTAATGTTCCTCAGTACTTTATTGTCACCATTGTACGAAAGACTGATTAGCTATTGGTTTCTGAATTGATATTTCCTCACTCATCCATTTTATATATCTACCCCAGTCAAAATAGACATTTCAATTAACTAAAATTCGCATAGAGCTGAAAATTGGTACAGGTCTTAAATACACTATTATCAATGATATCTGAAAAATCCGCACCCCTCCCACGTCTGCTAAAAAAATTATTCAAAGTCAAAAGTCAAAAATATGTTTTTTTTTTGCTTTTTTCTCCTAAACGGTAAGCGCTATCGCAAAATAAATGTTGTAGACCATTAAATTTTCTACAATAATGGTTCTTATACTTTTTTTCTTACGAACCACCATTCCTGAGTTATGGCGATTTCAAAAGTTGAAAATCTCGTATTTTTCATAATATGCACACATTTCCGCACCACCTGTGAGGTAGTGTACTTGGTGCGTTTTTTTAACGTGGTTTCCCCTGGCCTAGTCCACAATCTATTGTGGTTAAGTTTTATTATACATTATATTATTAATTTTAAAAAACGGTGCTCTTGGTAATGATTATAGTCGAACGGATTATTGTTGATTTTGAGAGAATTTTAATCTACCTTCAAATGATACTTCAACGGTAATGTCTGCGCCGACGTATTCAAAAAGATTGACTCTTCTCCACAAGTCATCATCACAAGTAGAATTCGCTTGCCTCTTGCTATATATGGTGCTCCAAAAAAAACTGATTCTATAGACAAGTATAGATATCTAAATTTTGTTAAAAATACTCGGAACAATAAAATGGTACAACTTTCTTGTCTTCCTCCAACATCTGCTTCTGTCTGTCAACACTTACATATATCGTGTATACTATCAAGTTCAATTGTAGCTAGGCAATCAACTGAACCCTAAAGACTGGGGTTGGAAATTTATAGATAATACTTTGGAGCTGATTAAAACTTTACTTCCTCCTGCTCCCGAAAAACTACTTAACACAATTTTTTGCAATTGCAAAAAAGGTTGTAGCGCAAACTGTGGTTGTAAAAGACTCAGATTGTTTTGTACACCAATATGTGCTAATTGTCAAGGTCAGTTTTGCTCCAATATTGACTTAAATACAGATGAGGATTTTGATGAGGAGACAACTGATGCATCTGTCATAGATGGATTTCCAGATATTCCGCAAGAAGATGAGAAAGAAGAAAGCGAAGAACACATTACTGTTGAAGTATCATTTGAAGATTACCACTCAGATTAAAATTCTCCCAATATCAACAATAATCCGTTTGACTATAATAATTACCAAGAGCACCGTTTTTTAAAATTAATAGTGTAATGAGTAATGAAACTTAACCACAATAGATCGTGGATTAGGCCTACAGGGGAAACCACATTAAAAGAACGCGCCAAGTACACTACCACACAGGTTGTACAGAAATGTGTGCATATTTTGAAAAATACGAGTTTTTCAACTTTTGAAATCGATCTCAGGAATGGTGGTTCTAAGAAAAAAGTATAAGAACCATTATTGTAGAAAATTTAATGGTCTACAACATTTGTTTAAGGTACTTTTGCGATAGCGCTTACTGTTTAGGAGAAAAAAACCTATTTTTGATTTTTGACCCTGAATAATTTTTTAGCAGACGTGGGAGGGGAATTTTTCAGATATCATTTATAATAGTGTATTTAAGACCTGTACCAATTTTCAGCTTTATGCTAATTATTGTTATTTAACGCCCTTTTTTTGTTTATTTTGACTGGGGTAGTTCTAAACCATTTTAAATTAGCTGAGTTCTTGTAAAAATGACTATATAAATAAATTTAACAACTTACTTAACAAATTTTATTATCTTACAGTATTTACAATAAATATCACGAGCCCATTTTCGCTTGTTGCGTCATGGAGTAAAACAAACTCTCTTTATTTGCCACTAATGTTTTCGGATCATCAAATTCGGCAACGCTGCCATTGTCCATGACCATCACTTTATCACAATGCATAATCGTACTTAATCTATGTGCAATCATCACCACTGTACAATCCTCAAAATTCTCTTGAATGAGTTTGTGCACCAGCTCTTCGGCTTGTTCGTCCATATTTGCAGTTGCCTCATCCAGAACCACTATTTTATTTTTACGTATAATCGCTCTCGCTAAAGAGAGAAGTTGTTTTTGTCCGGTACTTAGATTTAAGGTAAGTATGTCGTCTTCCAACGTCGGTACGAGATCCTTTATTTGCACTTTTTCGAGCACCTGCCAAATTTCTTCATCAGAGTAGACCTTGTAAGGGTCAATATTATCTCTAACCGTGCCTTCAAAAATTATTGGATCCTGGGGTATAATCGAAATGCTTTTTCTTAGAAAACTAATGGATACAGTGGTAATATCGATATCGTCAATGAGTATTCTACCTTCACAGTCGTAGAGTCTAAACAAAGTTGAAATAATGGATGATTTTCCAGCACCAGTTCTTCCAACAATTCCAATTTTACTACATGGTTTTATAGTGACACTAATGTTTCTCAGTACTTTATTGTCACCATTGTACGAAAGACTGACGTTTTCGTACTTAATAGAACCATCTTTGGGCCAATCGTTTAGAGCTCCGCCTAATTTGTTCTCCTGTTGGACGTCGGTATATTCTAGCACTCTTTCTACCGAAGTCATGCAGTTTTCTAGGTCTGCCCATTGACGCACTGCCCACTGCAAATACCCGGTGAGCATGAAAACTTGGGTGAGAGCTAACCCAACATTTCCAACAGATATTTCTAAAAAATAAAAAAAAACGTCAATTAAAAAATTTAAGTAAAAGAAAGGAAATCGAGTTTATATATCTTTTAAACTTAAGTACTTATGGAAGAAACTCAATCATATTCAAATCTAGAATGTCATTTTATCTAAAGAAGAAAATATTAGACCAATGTGTACTACCAGTCATGACCTACGCATGCGAAACCTGGGCACTTAACACGGACATTATAAGGAAACTGCGGGTCGCTCAGCGCTTAATGGAACGAAATATGCTGGGAATAACCAGGAGAGACCGTAAAAGAATAGAGTGGACACGACAAAAGACCCAGGTAATAGATGTTGTCCACAGAATCAAATCCCTCAAGTGGCAATGGCCAGGACACCTGGCAAGAAGGACGGACAACAGATGGACCGCAAAAATTACAGCATGGTAGCCACGAAGAATCAAAAGACTTAGAGGAAGACCAAACCTGAGATGGGACTATGATATTAGGAAATAACCAGGGATAACTTGAGCCCGCATAGCGAACAATAGACAACAATGTCACAAATTACCTATAACAGATGCGAAAGAAAGCGACTGCATCGGAAACCGCTCGGCAAACCCGACACGCCTATTGAGTGGTGTAAATACACCAGTCGTTTAGTCCGGAAACCTATGCTGTGTCGTATTCGCTTGCTGGAATGACATAGTGCGTGGTTATATGTTTCATTTTAAAAACGCGTGTAGGATTTTTGTGGAACTTTTGAACTGTTATTTCTAAGTTTTGGTAATTTGTATATCTTATTTAAAATGGGATGCAAATGTGTTTATTTATAAGGAAAAAAAAAAAGATATTTATAGTATAAAAAATTAATTTATTTAACAAAATTTAATTAAAAATGTGACAAAATAGTTACCTTTCTATTGGTTCTATCGGACTTTTTTCGACTATATAAATCTTTATTTGTAAACTTTAATACATCAAATATTTTCAATCTAATAAATCATTTAATGATGTAAATAAGATGAAATTTCTCACATGGGTGGTCAAATTTTATAGTTTTCATTATATCAAACAGCTTCGGAGAAATGTTTTCAACTCAAAATGCCTTTAATTATGTTTGACTACATCATTAAAAAGGGTCTTCGAATACATCAATGTGATATTTGTCTAAAATTTGCAAAAGAATCCGAATCTCTAGATAACTCGAAATTATTTACCCATTTAAAAGCCTTTGATCATGAAAGTGGAAAAATTTGTTCATTTTATTTACAGGCTGGAAACATTATTTATATTAAATTTTGATGAGTTTTGCACTGAAGAAAACATTCAGAGGCTGTTTAATATAATGAAAACTATAAAATTTGACCACCCATGTGAGAAATTTCCTCTTATTTACATCATTAAATTATTTATTAGATTGAAAATATTTTATGCATTAAAGTTTACAAAAAATAAAGATTTATATAGTCGAAAAAAGTCCGATAGAACCAATAGAAATGTAACTATTTTGTCACATCTTTAATTAAATTTTGTTAAATAAATTAATTTTTTATACTATAAATATCTTTTTTTTTCCTAATCTCCTACGAGCTGATATAATATGACGAGCAATCTATTAAATTACTGTGAGATTATACAGAAAAGTCCACAGACTTCGAGACATAGGAAAATCAAGTCCATTTAGCGTGTGTCCAAATTTTGACAAGTTTTCAAAAATGACAGTTTTGTTTAGACTGACGTTTAATTTCACCTGACTTCTCGGTGAATGATTTCTTTTTATGGGGGTACATAAAATCTAAAATTTACGGCCATGAAGAAATTCAAAACTTGGAGCAGTTAAGGCAGAAAATATTTAATGCCTTTGACACTGTCACCCCTGATATGTTATCCAATGTGAGGAGGGGATTTTATGATCGTTTGGGTTATTGTTTAATGCAAGAGGGAGGCACTTTTGAACAATTTTTGTAATTTTTTAAATTTCATTATCCTGTTTTTTTACCGTTTACCCATTACCTACCTTGACGAACATGGGAAAACGAAGGTCCTTTTCAGGACCACAAATATTTTGATTGAGAAAATTGGTAACTTTTTTTTGGATTAAAAAACAAAAGTTGTTAATATAATACCAATTTAAAAGTGTTTTAGTAGTTTTAATACACACTATGATATAAAATTTATTATTATTATAATGTACATTATTAATACTATTGTTCATTCGAAATGGCATTAAGGCCCAATTGCAACAATGATTTAAATTTTTCTTAAAGATAAGTAGAGCTTAGAATGAGCTGTATTTATATTTACTTTAATATTCACCTTAAATGAGGGAATTTGAGTGATACAGTTTTTGAATTTGAATTCTTTTTAATGATACTAACAATTTTAGTTCAATTTTTAATAAAATTTATTTAATATTAATAGAAATCCAAGAGACTTGAAACATCTTTTAGCGATTTATAACATTCTCAAATGAATTGCAGGTGCCCTTATTTTCTATGAAAATCACACAGCTTTTTTCATAGTCGCTGCAGTTGCTATAGCTATAAAAAACTAATTTTTTAAGGTGTGAAAATTGCGACACACGCTAAATGGACTTGATTTTTCGTATGTCTCGAAGTCTGTGGACCTTTTTGTATGCCTCGATAACATATTGGTGCAGATTATTTTCACCCAAACAAATAATAACCCAAACTATACATTGATGCGGATTGTCTATGAACTCTTTCTGAAGGTCACAGAAACCTGAACGCGTAATTCGGTGTTCTTTCGCATCTGTTATAGGTAATTTGTGACAATGTGCCCAACTACAAAGAGAGTACCTAAATTTGTGAGGGAGGTTATACTATAATTGGGAATGGTTGAATAAGCCCAAAATGATGATGATATATTTAAAAGTGTTTCTGTTGTAACAAATATTTATTCAATGGTTCAAGATTGTTTTTCTTCAAACAAAGATGTGACTATTAGTGTTATTTTACCGGCAAAGTTTACAGTGTTTAATTTACGATTACAGTGTGTAACTTACAGGCAAACGGTAATTTAAAACATGAAATTACCGGTTATTCCTTATCAAAACCAGCAAAAAAAATAAAACAACCTTTATTCCTTCTTGCTGAGAATAGTGCCATTTCTCTCTCCAAGGTTTGGGTAATAACCAAAGATATTATTTATTTTATAACTGGTTAAGGTTTGTTGGCTTTTCTTATTGAAATAATCAGATTTTCCTTAATCGACAACAGAATTTCCGGAAGAACCGGAGTAGCACACATCAACTTTGGACTTTTTAGAGACTGGGTTAGAATTAACAAATTCATCAATATCAATAGCATTCGTGTTCGAATTTTTCATTTTTAACTTTGAGATCTGTTGAACTAGTTATAGTTTTTCCGATGTCAATTGGAATAGGATGGGACTCTTAATTTGGTCACTGTTTTTGTGGGCGTCATTGTTGACACATGTTTGGATTATCGTCTGGACAAACGAATTAAGTTTTCCAGAATTTCCTAATGTCTTCGAAAATACTGTACAATAGTGTCTTTGTTATAGCGGATTTGATTTTATTTACATTCAGTAGTAGGATCTGAGAGTAGGATAAATTTAACGCCATGTAATTGCCATTTAGTTGGTAAAAATTAGAAATATCATGTAGTACCGAGACACAAAGATACGTAGGGATGGGGGTCTTAGATCAGTGGCGTAGCTAGGTAACCAAGGGCCCTGAGGCAAATCAAAAAATGGGGCCCCACTGCTATGTAAACTGATTAGGTTTTATCAAATAAAAATATGAAATACTTTAAAAATGCTAAGCTACTTAAGCTCTTTTTTGTGCACAGCAGGGAGGGTAATAAAAATATTAAACAGTAACAAAAAGTGGCAGAATGGTGCCAGATGAGTTAACATTTCTTACATATAAGTATATGGGTATATAAATAAGTTTATATTAAGTATTCTAAGGCTTGTTTAGATGGCGAAGTATGTACAGGGTGTCCCATTTTAGTTGAAAGCATACGGTATCTCAGTTATCAGATATAGGAGGGTTAAGATAAGGAAGGTTAAAAGATATAGGAGGATGCGGTTTGCATAAACCTTAGTGTTACCACCTTTAACGGTGGAGACCATGAACGATCTCCTGCCTGTGGACCTGAATTGACGTACTGCAGGTGACTTGCATTTTTTCACGATATTTCGCGTTATACAATGAGCTGTAGCCGAAATCTATAGATTTGAAACGATTTATTGACTTAACAGACATCAATATGAGTGGTAAAATCAAATAAAATCGAACCACTATATTAACCAGTACAAAAAGGTTTATTGACATTAGCTTACTTACTCCTGATACAGCATTAATTTTTTATCCGTTCTCGAAAAAAAATCTTAACTCGAATTCACAGTAAAACGCACATCGATGAATAATAAAACGCACATATCACTATCCGTCAAATTGACAACACTGCCAACCTACAGAAAGAATTTAGGGGAATTCCTTATTACAGTTGAGGTTTGGAACCTTTGGTGTTACACAGCAAAATAAAAACACTAAATCACCACAATACACTAAAACACTTTTACTTTTACACTGGACGCGCGTTTCGCTAACCATGTTAGCATCATCATCAGATGATTATAAACTTTTGAGTTTGGTTTGAACATGGTTAGCGAAACGCGCGTCCAGTATAAAAGTAAAAGTGTTTTGGTGTATTGTGGTGATTTAGTGTTTTTATTTTGCTGCGAATTCCTTAGGCATAACCTTTGAATTTCTCTCAACTGAGTTGTCATTATTAAAGTGGGGTTGGAACCTGTCATATTTATTTTGAAAATGGGAGAAATTTCCAGAAATTCAGTTCGATCAAGATTTCTGGTAAGGATTCGAGGGCCCCCTGAGCTTGAGAGACCCGGGGCACTGCCCCGTCTAGCCCGTAGGTAGCTACGCCACTGTCTTAGATAGGAACTATCGAAAAAAAGAAATAGAGATCTTATCCGATAACCAAGCATTAGGCAAAGAAAATAAAGTCCTCCTACACTGGGTGCCAGCCCACCAAGGGATAGTAGGTAATGAAAAAGCAAACGATCTAGCTAGAAAAGGAGCGAACACTCCATTAACTGGACCAGAACCGTTCCGCTTCCCAAGTGGAAACCAACTTAAAGCGGAACTCAAGAATCTGGAAGTCTCCATTCGTAACCTGGAATGGAAATCCTCCAACAGTCTAAGACACTCGAAGAAATTTCTCAGAACTTACGATCAAGTAAAATCAATTATTTTCCTTGGTTTAAGTAAGAACAATCTTCAGATTGTGACGGATTTTTCAGTAGACTGCAGCTAAGAAACAACGGCGAATGCAGATTCTGTGGGAAAAATGGGGAAACACCACATCACTGAGTGTAGTAAGAGTTTTTAATCTATGTAAAACCGCCTTTAATACAGGTTTTTGTCACAGACCTCCCATGGACTAACACAAACGTATTTTGAATATCATATTGGAGAATTAAATTATAGATAGAGTTCACCCAAGAACGGTAAACTAATAGGATTGCTCATCCTCATAAGACGTACATTCGCCTCTTCCCGCGCTTCAGCTGACAGTTGTGACGTCATTGTAGCCCTTGTCAAAGCCTTCGTGGCCTTGTCATGATAGTGTGTATTATTAGTTACCTATGGTAAACTTACAAAAATAACAGCTAAGAAATTTTGAGTTAATTATTTTGTCAATTTTAAATGTGAAAAAGGTGTCTTTAAAGTTTTTAGAGCTATAGAGTGTATAAATACGTTCATTTTGTGTTGTGGATTGTGACAAAGTGCATACTAAGTGCCCACGATTTTGTTTATTAATTATTTTAAAGCAAAATATGGAAGTACTCTAAAAAGAATGCTTGCAAAAGGTGATGCTGGGAACTGATGTTCTTAAAAATGCATTATCTGAGTATTTAATACGATTTATACAGTTAATTTTCTATACTGCATACATATAAGGTGTTTAAATAAATAAACTAAATAATGAACGTTTTGCATTAATAATGCACGTGTGTGTATTATTGGTTGGTTAAGGGCTACAATGACGTCACAAAGCGAGTAGTTTTCGCATGCACCTGGCGGACACTTTTGGCTGAATGAGCAGTCCTATTAGGTTAACTGTTCTTGGAGTTCACCTAAGTGTTTGCAAGTCTTTTTAAGGACAATCCTTGGAATTCGTATGTGTTTGTTAAAGACAAAGTTCGGAATAATGTTAGGTAAAGTGGCAATCTACAATAACTAACTACAGTGTATCAATGTGGCAATCTACAATAATTTAACTTACGTGTATCTACACACAGCAGGATTATGATAATGAATAGAATGAACATGGCTCCCATGAAATCCATGACGAATCCAAATGCCATTCTAGTTGTCTTCATCATGTAGAAGGATGAATTCGCTAGATCTTGATGTTTGTCGAATTCATCCTTTAATACTTCTTCTGCCTTATATGCCCTTATGGTAGTTAAGCCTTCTACTGATGCATTAAGGTGACCAATGAGAGGACTTCGAGCTAAAATTAGAAAATTTATTTTTGTTTTGCCCTGAGACTGTATGTTGAGTTATAACTAAAAAGGGAGACACAGATCTATAAAGATACAGATAATCAAGGTGCATCTTTTCTCGATACTTTGTTTTTGATTCATCTCAATAGCTTTTTATTGTTAAAGGTATTCGTCTTTGAAGAAAACAGTAACGATTGAAACAATTTGAGTTAAAAACCTGCCTTTTATGCTTTTGGTCTTAGTCAACACACCTATGAGAGTCGCCCTATCATGTAATGTCACTGTCATTGAAAAATCATAATATTATTGCATAGATAAAGGAAACAAATTTAGATTGGAATGCTCGTCTTGCTGCCAAAACTTATAATTGTTTTGGAGCGCATACGTAGTAGGGCGCTGCTATAGCGGTTACTAAGAACAACCGCCAAACAAGAACAGAAATAATTTTTTCTTTCACTTTTTTTTTAGTCAGAATCTTTAAAAATCATAAAATCTTTCAAAATTCAAACCTAATTGAAAAAATACTGAAAAGGGTTTAAAGCGTACATTTTCAAAGTAATTATTGCTATCTTGTGAGTTTAATTTAAATTTTATTTACTTAAACCCGCGATAATTGTGAGAAAGTGGCATCCAAAAACTTAAAAAGCTGTGCGACTGTGTGAACTGCAAAAACCATCGTGGCATAACACTGATCGCACTGTTGTTGTGTTGGAGCGATTGATCATTCGCATGCGCTTTGCATTCGATCCGTTTAAATAGCCCTGTTTAAAGGGACCGAAATGCATCCTTGTCTTATTTAGTTTCTTCGTCTTACTGATACATCTGTAATAATCTGTGCTTTACGTTTGAAATACATTCTAGTACATACTTTAGGTTTACGCTTAAACAAAATTCCCAAGTTTTTTATTCTAGGATGCCCGACGCACTATTGCCGGACCCTGTATAGATATTATTTTTCCAGATGACCATATAAATTAGTATGATATAATATACTTACTCATTGCTTCCAGTCTTTTTAGTGTACGCCCAGTTGGCATGTATACCATTCTCACGCAGAATAATACGGAGAAAAAGATTATAGCAAACATAAGGAAGATCCAATTTACTGTAGCTATCAAGATAAGTATTCCGCCAATATTGATAAAGCTCTAAAAGTGCAAAATGGAAAATATAAGTACGTATTAATTTATAAAATCAAGTGTTTTAGTTTTATTTAAATAAATTTATAGATATACTAGATGTCTTTAGTTGAGCTTGCATTAGTTGCTTGTGGAAACCAACAGCGTCAAATTCATTAATAATCTAGACTCTCTAGATTCTCATTCAAAGGGGACGAATTTTTATAAACTCTATATATCGAAAAGGAATCGAGCAGAATATCAAGTGTACTATATTTTTGGAAAGGTGATTTTTTTAATGAATTAAAAATATACAGGGTGTCCTATATAAAAAATCAATTTTTCTGTTGATTAAATTCTATGTAATAGTACATACGCCATTAGATTCTACGTAAAAAAGGGCTTTGGAATTGTTTTCATAAAAATACAAAATTTTCCATAGCAAAAAAGTTACAGCGATTTGTGAAAAATACACATGTTTGAAAAACACCCCGTAACTCCGAAACGCTAACAGATATCGATGTGCGATTTTCACCATCACGTATTTGATAAAAATTAAGCTACAGACACCGACATTAGCTTTCGTCTATCTCCTACAGAAAAGGGTATTTCCCTTTAAAAGCGTCGAATTTGACCCACCCTGTACATTGATTGTTTCAATATTAATACTTACTCTGAAGAACTCCATAAATATAAACGGAAGCATTTCATCAATCACATCCAAATCGTACGAAAACCTATTTAGTATATTGCCAATGAAATGGTTATCCATAAAGCTCATGGCCGAATTGATCACGCTGTGGCACATCGCTTGGTGTATATTAATGGACGCCTTTCTACAATACCGTAAAAGAGAGTAGGCTTTGACTAAGGCCAGAACAGCAGACGAGGAAATCATTATCGTATATAGATTAAACGTTCTATCTCGTCTTCCCAATGCATCGGTTTGTGTTAACGTTGCGTTGGTGTCTTTTGCTGTTACATTTTTACCCAGACCAATATCGTATGCTTGTTGTTGATAGTCCACCCTAGAATACAGTGAAAGAGGTATAAATAGATACCGTAGGATCGAAAAAAAGTAGTCCAGTTGGCTTGAAAATAAACATCAATGACATGCCACATATAATTATACATACAGGGTATCCCACTTAAGATGGATACAAGCCTTTGTTGATCTTGGTTGTTTGTTGAGCAATCTTTTGCATTTTTGGCAGTTGGTAGTATGGCTATACGACGTACATTTTGTCCAGAGTAAGAAATGCGATACCTCATAGACGTACGTTTTAATGGGGTTTGATATTATTCGAGTCAAGAGTAAACTAACCTTAGGACAGTATTTATTTCAAATCTGATAAATTATATTGAATCCTCCTTACCCAAGATACTTAAGTTCTAATTTTGATAAATATTGATACAGGGTGTGTTATTAAAGTAAGACATTTTTATTTTTATTATTTTTTACCACTGGATAAACAAATGGTTTATTATCAATAACCAATTATCAATTAATAATCGATTTAAGTTTTCAGATAGCTTCCATAATAATTATGATACGATACAAAAAAACTAAATATTTTAAATTTATTTTGTTGTTTTAATGAATAAAATGAGTTACAAAATAATTTAAAAACCCAGTTTTCAATGGAATCTGAAATATGATTTTTATTCGTTTTATTGAGGAATATTTTAAAAAATCCAAATAGTTATTTAAAACAATCATTATTAACTTTGAAAAATATGCTCTAAACAAAGATTTATAAAACTATAACGAAGTGAAAGTCAACATCTTTGACCAAACTTAAATCGATTATTAAGTAATTGATAATTGGATATTATTGGTTATTGATAATAAACCAGTTGTTTATCCAGTGGCGTCGTAAGTACTTAAAAAATAATGATAAAAATATAAATGTCTTATTTTAATGTCATACCCTGTATCAATATTTATAAAAATTAAATTAAGTATCTTAGGTAAGGAGGATTTAATATAATTTATCAGATTTGAAATAAATACTGTCCTAAGGTTAGTTTACTCTTGACTCGAATAATATCAAACCCCATTAAAACGTACGTCTATGAGGTATCGCATTTCTTACTCTGGACAAAATGTACGTCTTAAGGTGCGTATTCATTATCCGAACGAACGAACGAACGAACGAATGAAAGTGCGGTATATTTAGACGGGGACCGAACGCATGCGGCCGTTCGTTCGGTCGTGCGCTCGACCATCCGCTTCGAGTCGGTACATCAAAGGCGTTCGTCTGCGTGTGCTTTCAGATTTAAGGTGCGTATTCATTATCCGAACGAACGAACGAACGAATGAAAGTGCGGTATATTTAGACGGGGACCGAACGCATGCGGCCGTTCGTTCGTTCGTGCGCTCGACCATCCGCTTCGAGTCGGTACATCAAAGGCGTTTAGACGTCATGGTAAAAGAATACAAGGTATGATCGATAGCGGCTCCAATTTCGTTCAGTTCGCGCATACCACCTGTGACGTCACTAGGAAAATAATGAATAAATAAAAAATAAAGAAAGTTGACAGGAGATCTGCAATTTTTGGGGTTATGGTTAAGAATTGTTTATTTTAAGACTTTTTAGTTCGTTTAATTTAATAATTACTAAAACCAGCAGTTCCAAAAATATATTTAAAAATAATAATTATCTATTAACATGGATTTGGACGATAGGTAAGAATACTGAATTTATTTCTATATTCGGTATAAAATTGTTTATTAGGTTTTTAGTTTGCGATGTTTATGGTAAATAATTTTCATTTTCATTGCCTCTGAATTCACATGAGGACAGAGTTGAGGATATCTATGGAAAAGTAACCACAAGAGGAATTGTTACATCATTTAAAAAATATTGGGAAGTTTATTGTTTCCCATCGAAAAGTAGAAAATGCCAATGCAGATGAACGTATTGTAATTGTGATAGAAGTAATTCTAAGGGTGAAGTTTATTATAATTAGTGGAAGTAATACCAAGGGTGAAGTTTATTATAATTAGTGACCTCTGCTTCTTTTTATATGTAGAAGTTTCTGGTTTTGAGAATAAATCGGTTGAACGACACCCAAAATTTAAAGGAAGTATTTGCATACCCAGAATATGCCCATCAAGGATTATATAGCTCAAATTTCCTTTAATGGTAGGCAATTATTCAATGCAAATTAACTTTTTAAGTGACTAAAATATTAAATAGTTTACAATATGGTATATCACTAAAAATATATTACTTTTAGGTACAATTAGGGCCCGATACATTTCAAAAAGTAGAATATTATTTTATATTAAATGAGGTATTGTACTAACAATCAATTTATATTAATAACGGAGATTAAAAAATAACAGAATAAATAGTTCTTTTTCTTATACTACAAAAATAAACTATAGAATACAACAGTATTTAAAAAAAAAATAAAAAGTGATGTTCCGGCCGAGATTCGAACTCCGGTCTCTCGCTTCCTAGCTCGACTCCTTATGCACTGCTCCATAGTAACTTCCTTAGCGATAATTCAATGACGGTATATAAACAAAAAAAAACAGGTTTATAACAATATCTTGACGATTTGAACTGGCGCGCGAATGAAGAAATGCGTGCGGTCTTCTCGTGCGGTTCTATCGTGCGGTCCCCGTCCATACCACTAGCGAACATTCGTTCGTTCGTTTGGTTTGATTTGGTTTGAATACGCACCTTAAAGGTGCGTATTCATTATCCGCACAAACGAACGAACGAACGAACGAACGAACGAATGAAAGTGCGGTATATTTGGACGGGGACCGAACGCATACGGCCGTTCGTTTGTTCGTTCGCTCGACCATCCGTTTCGAGTCGGTATATCAAAGGCGTTCGCCAACAAATGCCTCCGGTCTTCTCGTGCGGTCCTATCGTGCGGTCCTCGTCCATACCACTAGCGAACATTCGTTCGTTCGTTCGTTCGTTCGTTCGTTCGTTCGTGCGGATAATGAATATGCACCTTTATAGCCATACAGCCTCCTACCAAAAATGAAAAAAATCGCTCAACAAACAACCAAGATATTGGCTTGTATCCATCTTAAGTGGGACACCCTGTTATAAAGTGACAGTGATGTTCATTTCATAGCCATCGCTGGTGCCGTTTTTTTTTCGATTATATTGTAGATAGACTAGAATATTTATTTAGTAAGTAAAATAAATTTTTGCCGTCAATGTTTATTGTTCTCTTAAAACATTTTATTATGGATTTATATTTAAGATAATACAGGGTGTCCCAATATTCCATGGACATAGAACTACTACTAATTTTGGAGTCAAAATAAGTTCATTGGACACCATTTACCTCTATAGAAAAGTGCTTCGTTTGTCCGCTAGAGGGCATCAAACTTTAGAAAAATAAACACATTTTTTCAGATAATTTAAAAACCGTTATTCCGATTTGAATGAGATTTTGGGTGTCTGTGTTTTGTTAAATGCCTTAAGATTTGGCTTTCACAAAAATCAAGAAAAAATACGGAAAGGGTGAAAACTACCCCCACCCCTACATAAATTTTAGTATAAATAAACTCGATACCGATGGATGATTTTCTTTTCGTAAATTGGTCCCTCTAGTATTTACTACATGTTTTGTCTCTTATGAAAAAAACGCCATCGCGCATACTTTTTGAGGAAAAAAAATATTTTTCTAAAGCTATACCGGGTGCGTCTTAAAAGTGGCTCACCCCTATAACTTTTTTATTTTTTCAGATAAAAAACCGAGATTTGGTATGTTAGGTTGTTATGACATAAATTAGGATCGATTGACGTATTCAATTGTTTTTTTGTCACTTCCTGTTTCACCGGAAATGACTACAAGTTTTGATTTTTAAATGGCACCCTCGGTTTTTTTTACTTTATTCGATAGAAAATGACATTCTGAATAGAATGACATATCATATGTCAACTTTTGAAATTTTCGCTTAATAAAAATCGTATTTTAAAATTCAATCTAGAGTGCCATGGCTATATTAAAAACACTAACTCTGAATCAAGGAGTTTTGGAAAAATAGATTTGATCGTCTAATGTTTTTAGTGTCTTGTCCTGGCCAGTTAGAAAATGAATGCTCGAATCGTATTTTTAATCATATCTCAATTTTTTTAAATGGAACGAAGGTGGCTCATTAGCATATTTGGAAAAAGCATTTTTGTACGAATAATTTGATACCACAAACTTGGTATTTCGAGTCAAATTTTCGTTACGAACCGCAAGTTATAATTTCAAATAAACCATATGCGACAATGTCAAAAGTTGACATATGATATGTCATTCTGTTCAGAGTGTCATTTTCTATCGAGTAAAGTAAAAAAATACCGAAGGTGTCATTTAAAATCAAAAGTTGTACCGGTGTACCATTTCCGGTGAAACAGGAAGTGACCGAAAACAATTGAATACGTCAATCAATCCTAATTTATGTTATATACTAACATACAAAATGTCGTTTTTGATCTAAAAAGATAAAAAAATTATAGGGGTGAGCCACTTTTGAGATGCACCCGGTATATGGATATTATTATGCTCTAATAATCTAGTTGGCGAAAATATGGAAATTTATGTTAGTATCACAAATTATATTTGACAATAAGCTTCATAAAAATCTTAAAAAAAATAATAATTTTTAAATTAATTAACGTTCAGGTATATTTTTGATTGATGCCCTCTAACGGACAGACAAGGCACTTTTGTATAAAGGCAAATTATGTGCAATTAACTTATTTTGATTCTCAAAATAAGTAGTAGTTCTATGTCCACGGAATATTGGGACACCCTGTATATAGAATGAGTTACCTTGTATGGAATTGATTTTATCATTAGTAGAAACTGAACAAAAATAATTTAGGTTGGAACCTAAATCCAAAATACCACCAAAAATAATAAAAGTATAAACAGAACATTACACAATTCAACTAGAATGGCAATTTTTTTATTATTATAGTACCGTATGATCGAGAATAACGGCGTCAGCGATGGCTATGAAACGAAGATCGCTGTCATTTTATATGTAAATTTATATGGAAAATGTCATACATCGTCATTTCCCAGCCAACTGGACGCCGTTTTTTTTTCGTTCATACGGTATAATCATCAGATGTCTAAAACCCTCGTTTAATATTCAAGTACCGTATGATTGAAAATGGACAGGGGGTGTATCATTGAACGGCTACAAGATATCAAACCTACGTTTTGCTGATGACACGGTATTGGTAACCGCCAACCAGCTGGAACTGAGGACAATTCTAACAAGATTGGAAACTACCAGTAGAGAGTTCGGCCTTCGCATCAATTACAGAAGGACTTAAGGTGATGATCGTAGATCGCGAAAACAACAACTGCCCAGACATCACAAACATAGATCGCTGCGAGGTTGTGCAACAATTTATTTATTTAGGTGCACTTATATCTAATACCGGTAGTTGCGAAATGGAAATACGCCGCAGAATTCAACTGGGCCGTAACGCTATGACGCAGCTCACGAAAGTTTGGTCGAATAGTCACATAACACAATCGACAAAAATCAATCTTGTAAACAGTCTTGTCTTTCCGGTTATGCTTTATGCTTCTGAGACATGGACACTGTTGGCAGCCGACAGACGACGCATTGACGCCTTCGAGATGTGGTGCTGGAGGAGGATGTTGCGAATACCATGGACAGCACATCGCACCAATGTGTCGGTCCTTAATGCAATCCAATTACCACAAAGACTTTCCAGCACTGTCTATAAACGCATCCTTTCCTTCTTCGGTCACGTCAACAGGAGCGGGCATATGGAGAGACTCGTAGTGCAGGGAAGACCTGCAGGATCCCGCCGCCGAGGAAGATCGCCAACCAGGTGGGTGGATATGGTTGAAAAACTTATGAATACCAACCTGGAGGGTGCCGTTCGAAGAACTGAAAACAGAGAAAATTGGAGACGGGCGGTACGTGCGGCCGTCAGGTCCTTAGAGCCAGAACCAGAGCCACTACACGTCGTACGCGACGTACGGACTTAGACGATGATTGAAAAAAAACGGCGTCAAAGACAGCTGGGAATGACAATCGATGATAATTTTAGTAAGCAATTTCGTTAATTTATTTAATCTTCTTTTCAACGTAGTCTCAGAAAGTACTTACCATTTTGAAACCAGCTTCTCCGAATAGCTTTCTGTAAACTGCCCTCCCAGATACAAGCACATGCATAAACAAAATATAATAATCCCCCCTCCAAATTTGAAGTACTTGTAGTAAGTCGCCAAGTCAACACTTCCCTGCTTTTTATCCTCTTGATATATTTTCTTTTGCTCCTTCTCCTCATCTAAATTAACATCTATCAGATTATTATTTTTAACGATCTTATGATCACTTTCGAAAGTCTCCATTATTTTGTTTTTCAAATTTTCCAATTCTTCCGATACTTTCTCCGTAGGCTTTATAATCGACTTCAGACCTCCACTGTTCAGTAAAATAATATTTGCTGCGCTTTTAAAATGGGCGGGGTTTTGTGTTACTAAAATCACTATTTTGTCTTTTAGATAGTCTTTTATGCATTTTCTGAAAATGTTTTCTTGAACGTTAACGTCCAGTGCAGCTAAAGAATCATCCAGCAAGTAGATGTCGCTATCTTTATAGATGGCTCTGGCCAAGTTCAAACGTGCCTGTTGGCCTTTGCTCAGGTTCATTCCTTTATCTATAACAACCGTTTCGTCTCCTTCTGGTAGAAGGCTAATGTCGTACTTCAAAGAACAAACGTCAATGACTTCCTCATACCTACGCTTATTGAAACTTTGACCAAACAAAATATTTTGTCTGATGGTAGAAGGAAACAACCATGGATCTTGTGAAGCATAAGAGATAGAACCAAAAACTGTAATACTACCTTTAGTAGTCGGGTAATCTCTCAAAATAGTCTTGAGCAAAGAACTTTTTCCTGATCCTACTAAACCGGTGACTACATTTAATCCAGGGTTATTTATATTAAAAGTTATGTTTTTAAGTATACTCTCCTTGCCTATAGAAACGCTGACGTCTTTACATTCGACTTTAACTTTATCTTTGTTTATCGGATCGTCGTTTGAGCCTCTGTAGTGTTCTTCGATGTGCAACACTCTGCTTACTCTGGTAAGGGAGGCGTAGACTTCCGCGCAATTAGTCAGGCCGAAGGGTATGGTGATTCCGACAGAATGGCGTAGTTCTCTGAACAGACCTATGACGTAAAATACGAGCTCTGTGGTGGGGATGTAACCTAAGGCTACGTAACAGATGAGGAGTATTGGGAATGTTATTTTGGATCCCATTATTCCGATGAGGATAAGAATGATTTTTAAGTAGAAGGCTTTCATCGTTGTCTTCATTTCTTTCCTGAAAACAGATAGGTTAGGTTGACAAACCTTTTTATTTTGGTTGACATTTTTTTTTTATTTTGGTTAAAGTAAGTATTTTCTCTACGTTTTAAAAACATTTTTTACTTACTTCCTAGCTTGATATATGCGTTGTTCGAAGAATATCTCCCATGTGTACATTTTGATTATTCTTAAGGCTGACAGAGTCTCTTGAGTAAGCTGTAACCTCTTGTCTGCCATTTTACAAACTTTTAATCTCATTTTTGTAACTAGTCTGCTTATGATAACTAAAAAAATAAATAAGAGGATTTTAGAGACACACAGGTTGTTTCAAAAAACATGTGCCATCTCTCGTGGGGAGATTTCTTACGTAAAAATAAGATTTATTTTTCATATGAACATAGGTCCGATTCTGCTTTGTTTCGTCGCGACAGGGTGTTAAAATCTTAATAATCTTTCGATTTATTATAATTATTATAATTTCCTTCAAAATATTTTTAGTGATTCAAATTAAATTTTGAGGGTGAAAATTACTATAAGTGCGACATATTTTAAAGCTAAAAAAGTGTCGACATATTCACCAGTGACGTGCATATGGGGGATCACTGGAATATTTTTCTAAAAAAAGCATGTACGCCACTGACTTTTTTTCTCTTGTTAGCGAAATAATGTAAGCCGTTTAATGCCGATAAAAGTTGTCTATGCTGAAAATAATAGCAACCTTTAAAAACTTTTAACATTATTAACTTGCGAAAGTTTGAAATAAATACTCATTGATTCCTCGTCCAAAAATATGAAAAAAAGTTCCTATAAACATAGATATGGAAATGCATAGTTTTAGAAATACATAGTTTTAAAGTTACAGGATGTTAACATTTTTTAAAATTAGGTTTTTTGTAATTATCTTAAATCCCATTATTTTTTTATTTGAAATTGCTGTAGGTTGGACTAATAGTAATAATAACTAATAGGAGGATGCCAAGCTATAGCTATCTATAGCTAATCTTCGGCCTTAGATACAGAATGGTGAAGTGCTATGTCTGGTTCGTTTTGTTATATGGTGTGGAAGCATGGACACTGAAGGTAGCAACAATAAACCGAATTGAAGCCTTCGAAATGTGGACCCTACGACGAATGCTAAGAGTGCCCTGGGTCGACCGTGTTAGGAATGAAGACATTCTCAGAAGAGCTGGTCTGGAACAACGTGAACTCTTCGAAATCATCAAGAAGAGGAAAATAGCCTATTTGGGACACATACTACGTGGAGAACGCTATCACTTTCAGGGTCTGATTCTCCAGGGTAAAATAGGGGGGAGCAAAAGGGGGATAGGACGAAGGAAGCTATCCTGGCTGAGCATACAGGACTTCCAAGCACTCCAAGTCGCGGCAGTTAACAGAACCATCTGATGAGGAAGAAAAAGATGAACGCCTACGCAGGAATCTGCACGGCACCTTAAGAAGAAAAAGCTATAGCACAGAGTGACTACAAATTTAGACACGACCAAGTGGGAAAGATCACACACCAAGAACTAGCATTGAAGTATAAACTCATAGAGCATAAAGTTAACTATTATCAGTACGAACCTGCTACAATCCTTGAAAACAATGAATATGAAATGTACTGGGACAGAACTATAATAACAGATAAAAGACTAGAACACAATAGACCAGACATAGTAGTGAAGAAGAAAAAAGAAAATGAAGTGTTGCTCATAGATTTTGCGGTGACAAACAACAATAACCTAACACAAACATACAGAGAGAAGATTACCAAATATATTGATTTATGCTTTGAAATTAAGGATATGTGCAAATACGATCGAGTCCGGGTCATACCATTAGTACTATCGAATATGGGTGTAATACCAAAAACACTAATTGAATCGCTGAAGGCGATAGACTTAGAAACATACCAGTACCAACTTATGCAAAAATCTGTAATCCTTAACACCTGCCATACAGCAAGGCGATTTCTATACATGTAACTTAACCGGGAACGTTTCTAAGCCAGAAAAGTTATTACCATCATGGTTGAGACGAGTCACTCCTCCAACCACGAGAAACCAACGGGTGTAGTTGAGATAAAACGACATAACTAATAGTAATAATGATTACGTAAAATATATAATTATTAATTTTATTTTTATTTTTATTTTATTAATTTTTGTGATTAATAAAATTGCGTTTATCTCATCAAAGAGGCCGAATTCGACAAAATATCAAGAGATAACTTTTATTCCACTGATAATCCATATGCACGTTCCTGATGAATTTATAGACACTTTTTTTAGCTATCAACGTCCCTGACGAATTTATCGACATTTTTTTTAAATATATGTAACACTTAAAGTCAACTTTTACCCTCAAAATTTCATTCGAATCACTAAAAGTAATTTGAAGAAAATTATAATATATCGAAAGATTATTAAGATTTTAACACCCTGTAGTTACGAAACAAAGCAGAATCGGACCTATGTTAATATAAAAAAATAAATCTTATTTTTACGTGACGAATCTCTCCACGAGAGATGGCACATGTTTTGTGAAACACCTGGTATATTTGAAGCGCCAGTTAAACCATTATTATGTTAACTAATACATTTAAATAAGCATTACCAACTTATAATAGTATTCAGATATTTAACCACTTATTAACAAAACTTCAAATTACTTATTTACTAATACTTTTCTAGATGTTTTTTTTTCTTAACCGAGGCCACTTCAATCTTCTGTAAAGATTATTTAACATTTTTTTAGATTATAATTTTATAGGTACGTGTTTATTTATATTTTAGCACTAATAGCGGTTCTTTCAAGATATACAATGGAATATTTTAAATATTCTTTTAATAGTTAAATATCAATAATAACGGAAGATGTGGTAAGCATTAAGACACCAAGGATAATAATCGCCCGAGGTTAATAACGTATACAGGGTAGTGATAACTTCGATGCAGGCTCTTCGTATTTCGGAAATTCAAAAGATACACCATCTGTATAATGAAGGCAAGTTCCATTATTGATATATCTTCTTCTTAGAGTAACTCTATATATAGAGCGATTCTAGAGTGACTCTATATATAAAGCGTCGGCTACCTCTCGCATGTACTTGTGATGTGAATCGTGAAGGAAAAGAGCTTCCTTCAGGATATATCAATCGAGAAAAGGTTCCAGGAAATTTGAAGTCCTTCCATGCTTGCGGACTAATATTGGATATTAGAGACACTCCAGAAATAACCAACAAAAAAATTAGTGGCTTTAAAGCTTCATTCAGAACCCCGCAATTAGTGGAATAAATTAGTGGTTTCAATTAGCGTAGAAGTTCCTTTAATTTCAATATAAGAATTCAGAACGTCAAAATTAGTGGTAAGCATTTTCAATTAGTAGAAAAAGTTATGAAACTTTTTATTTTTTTTTATAGTATTTGCACTTTTGCACTTTTTTAAGTAATTTATTTCAAACTCTGGAGAAAGGGAGCGCTACTATCAAGTTTCTACCCCGGTTCAAAAAAATTGTAGACCTGAGGCTGGTATTTTGTTTAGGATAACTCACCTTGAATGACTAATCCTGTACACAATATACTCATCGCAATCGTCGAAGGCAGCCCCATTCGAGCGTACAACAGATAAAATATCGTCACGGTCTGAATACTCCCCACGATCATATCGCTCAAAGTCCATATGTTACCCACGACATTTCTAATATCTTTGGTCAATATCGTCACGATATTACCCATGCTGGTCTCAGATATTTCACCGGCTCGTAGTTTCAAAACTTTTCGATAAATCAGCGAGGTGAGGGAGGCTTTGATTTGGAGTTCGAGCTTGCACTCGAACATGAAGTAGTTGTGTGCCCAAAAGCAGTGGAATATAGACAGGAACACTACTACGGTAGCGTACATAGTCGCGTCTGACCTGGTGATGCCGTTCTGATTTTTTTGGAAGTAGGATATGAATTTGCTGAGGACGTATGGATGCACAATGCTGAAAGAAAAAATAGGCAAGATTCAAAAAAGTAATAATAATAAAACATAAACGGTTTTCGGCATATTTTATCTACACTCAGATACAAAAAAAACGCAACGCAAATTTTTAGTCATATTTAAAGTGTTACATTTTTGTTACTTTTAGCCCTATTTTCATGAATTTGTTAACAGGCTGCATATAATTATATCAACTTTAATTCGTAAACTCAGTTTTTATAAATTTTAGTACATATTTGGCATATTATACAGGGTTAATTGAGGGGTTGTTTTTTACCCTAACTTTATAACACCTTGTGTAATAATTTCGTGTGTAGATTTTCCTAAAATATAATTTTACGGTCAGAACCATATCTCCTGAGTATTTTATTTTTTGAATCATGTCAATACATGCTTTGGTTAATTTTTAAGAGCGAAATGAACTTGTCATCACCAATTTGCAATTTTTTCTATTATCAATTCTTTTTAAAGTTATTTTTCAAATAGAAGAAGCCGGATTTGCTGATTATTGTGAACTATATACTACTATGAACTGCCCATCATGTTCGACGTTTGGGAAATGCTTGTGATCGCGATGCGGTACCAGCTTAATTAAATGAACTTCGCTTGGTTCTTAAAGAAGAATGAGAAAGCATAACGCAATATGATATATGCAGCCTCAATGACAGTATGAACTAGGGTTGCCACCTGTCCTTTTGTGAAAAGGACAGTCCTTTTTTGGAGCAAATTGCCCTTGTGACTTTTTTTGGCCTAAAAAATCCTTTTTTTATTTACGTATTTTCCCTGAGAAAATTAACTAAAGCAACCAGCAATATTCTTTTCATCCAAATTTAATTAGACATATAAATAAATGTTTTTTTTTTGAAACGTCACAAAAATTGTCAATACTTGATTGCAATATAAAAAAGTCATTTTTCTATCTCTCACAATCTAAGCACAAAAGTACGCAAATATATTCATGATATATTATTAAAGTGACATAAAATGTCAAATTCAACTAGTGTTACCATAATTTCTCGATATACAGGGTGCTACAAAATCGAGGTACGAGCATTGGTATCTCGGTAACCGTAATAGATACGAACAAGGTCAAATTAACTCCGCCTGGGGCAGTTGTGGGTGGATTGAGTAGCTCACAGTTGTCACTGCCGGTCCCAAGCCCGGATAAAGGAGGAGGGTTCTTAGGTAAGGCTAGCAACATGCCTAAGGTAAAACACTCACACGCTCAAAGCACCGGTAATACAGCCTCGGAACCAGGATTGATTTCACAGATAACGACCCACGCGCGAAAAAGGACAAGGAACAAACTTTATATGAAGAAGCAACAAATAAGAATTGCATGCTGGAATATAAAAACACTTTATTCGAAAGACCATGAACTAATTCCCGAACTCAACATACATAAAATAGACATATGTGCACTTTCCGAAACAAAAAAGAAAGGTAAAGGAACAACAAAACTAAATAACTACATTTTAATATACTCAGGCATGCCAAAAGACCAAAGAGCAACATCAGGCGTTGGAGTAGCTATAAATGATAAATATGAACAGAATATAGAAAGCATAGAATACATGTGCGACAGAATCCTGAGAGTAAAGATTATTATTATTATGATTCACATTATATCAGTGTACGCACCCGACATTAATAAACCTGAAAAAATGTCAATGGACTTATACGAAAATCTACAGTCAGTGATAGACAAAATACCAAGACATGAAAAGATAATTCTGTTAGGGGATTTAAACGCAAGAATTCGAAACGAGGTAGTGGATGGAATAAAACAAAAATATAACGAGAATATAACTAATAGAAATGGCGAAATTTTGACCGAATTCTGTGGACAGAACGAACTGAGAATAAACAACACATATTTTCCCCATAAAGAACAACACAAATACACCTTCTATAATAATAGAAACAATAAATCAATAATCGATTATATAATCACCAATCGAAATTTCTTACCTCAACAAATAATAGACATAAGAGTCTTATCCTCAGCCAACATTGGAACAGATCACAAACTTGTGCTAGGAAAGATACGAATAGGTGCGTCGCTATCCAAAAAAAGAACATCAATAAAAACTGAAAAATTCAATATAGAATCCCTCAACCACGAAAGCACTAAACAACTTTATTCAAACAGATGCCAAACACATGTCACTCTTAACCCCATAGCACAGTTTGATACTCCTAACACAGCTTGGAACAAACTGAAAGAAAACATCTGCAAAGGTGCTAAAGAAGCTTTAGGAACACGTACTGTATCACACAATAGAAGACCGAACATTAAACCTTGGTTTACATTAGAAGTCAAGAACATTACAAGGGAAAAGAAGGAAAAATACTTACAATACAAGAAATCTCCAACACCGGAGAACCGAAATATCTATCCGAAATAAGGAACAGGACTAATAATAGAGTACGAGAAATTAAAGAAGAATATTGGCAGCGATTTAGTAGCGAAATGGAGGCGGATATGTACGGAGCACAAAAACGTATTTGGAAGATGTTGAGGGGTTTGAAACGAGAAACAAATGAAACAATACAACTAAGAACAATTGCAGAAGATACGTGGGAAAAATATTTCAGAGACTTATACGCAGAAACAGATGAACCAATGGAAGCACAAGAGACAAGCCAAAGAGATAATACAGAAGATCATGCGCAAATCACTTACAAGCAAGTAGAAGAGACAATAAGGAAACTTAAAAATAGAAAATCTCCTAATCAAGATAAAATACCAAACGAGCTAATAAAAAACGCAGGCACGGCTATCATAGAGGAATACACAAAACTGTTTAACATTATATTACAACATAAGAAAATACCAGAAGAATGGAAACAAAGTATAACAATACCCATTTTTAAAAAGGGAGATAAAACAGACCCAGCAAACTATAGAGGAATAACATTACTGAGCACCTCGCTAAAACTTCTGACTAAGATCATTGCGGACAAAATCTCCTCAATAGTGCCAATAAGCGAGGAACAACAAGGATTCCGAAGAAACCGATCAACTACTATGCACTATTCATACTCAGGCAACTAGTTGAAAAATCCTTAGAATATAACTCTCCAGCCTATCTATGTTTTATAGATTTAACAAAGGCCTTTGATAGAGTCCAACTAAAAGACATCATCACCATCTTGGAAAGCAGTAATGTCTCGAAAGAACTCACCGAACTTACCAAGGACTTAAACACAAACACAACAACCCAAATAAGAACAAACTTTACCTTAACGCAGCATCTTCGAACTACAACTGGTATTTGCCAAGGCGACAGTCTCAGCCCTCTGCTATTCAACACAATCATGGATCAAGTAATAAAAACCGTCAAGAATCCTGGATTAGGATATCGAATGGGAATGCATAAAGTAAACATATTATGCTATGCCGATGACGCAGTACTTATTGCAGAGTCAGAGGATGACCTCCAAAGAATGCTACAAGCTTTTAACAGACAGGCAGAAAAACTTAACATGCAAATTTCCACAGATAAGACCAAATGCATGACCATTACAAAGGAGCCTCTACGGTGCAAATTGGTAATAAAAAACAAAACTATTGATCAGATAATGTCATTCGAACACCTCGGATGCAAAATTACAAGCTCAGGATTCCTGGAAGAAGATGTAAGGAAACAAGCCAGTAAAGCTGCCGCAATATCAGGACATCTTAAATATCCCATATGGAAAAACAAACATTTGAGTACAGAATGTAAGTCAAGAATATACAAAACCTGCATACGACCATTGATGACATATGGTGCGGAAACCAGAGCTGAAACATCAGTAACAAAGAGAATCCTACGAACTACTGAAATGAAGACCTTAAGAATGATAACTGGATACACATTGAGGGACAGACAGAGAAATGTAGACATAAGAGAAAAGTGCCAAACAAACGACGTTGTCAGATGGATAAGGCAGAGAAGAAGAGAATGGAACCAGCATGTCAATAGAATGGGCCCCGATAGAATGGCCATAATAATTCGCAACAACGTACCCCATGGCAGAAGACCTACTGGACGACCACCTAAACGTTGGCAAGACAGTTGGCAGTCAACCTCGCAAGAGTTGCTTAGACGAGGAGGAAACCGGAACTAAACAGGCGATACGCCTTCTAAAAGAAGAAGAAGAAGAAGAAGGTCAAATTGGGGCAAAATTGCGCTTTGGGATGTTCACCAAGATGCCATCAAAAAAGTTTTAAATTTTCCTGTCGTTACTTTTTAGAAAATCAAAAAACTAATTGCACATTCTCACAGCCACTTTATTATGGCTATTTGACAGTATTTTTAGATTTTTAAATTAGCGGATAATTCGGGAGATACAGGGGCTGACTTAATTTTTTTTAAATACGGACCTGCATTTTTTATTTCAGTTTTTGAAAGAACTCGATCTCCTGAGTACAATGATATGCCACACTTTATACTTTTTTTTTGTTTCGGCCATTTGAAGACAATTTATTTAAACTAATTTCAAGTCCGGCACTGTTTTTTTTTAATGTTTAATCTATTCATCGTTACAATATTGATAAGCCTTCAAACTTAACAATGACGTGGGGTAAAACATTGAATACGGAAAATCAAATGCAATAAAAAATAATATAAAATAAATAACACCGTATGATCGAAAAAAAACGGCGTCAGCGATGGCTATGAAATGAAAATAGCTGTCATTTTATACGTAAATTTGTATGGGAAATATCATCGATCGTCATTTATCAGCCAACTGGACGCCGTTTTTTCGAACAGACGGTATAAATTAATAATATAATAAAAATAATCATATAATTTCCCCGGAAGATGGATTGGAAATGGCGAAGCTTTATAATGTTGTCGAAGCTGTCGCCAAGGGGCGGAGGGCATTACTTGACGTCATTAATTTGTAAAAGTGAAATCAATATTTTTCAACATTTACAATAAAGAGTACTAAATGCATTCGGAAGTATAAGCAGATATGTTCAAAAATTTATAAATAAAATTGAACGAATAATAAATTTGTGCAATAGGAAGGAGGGTGGTAACCTTTTCGAACATGGCAGAGCATTAGAAACTAGTTTGTAGAAGTTATTTATTTATAATAACTACGATTAATATTATGCATATTATTAGATCGTACAATGAGATTTCAAATTTACAATAAAAAAAGTTAAAAATAATATCTTTAAATTGCTGACCTGGATATTACTTATTTGAATCTTTCAATTGGCTAGATTTTTCTTATTCAATGTTAATTAACGCTGATCAATATTCTTGCGATGAATATAATCAGATTTAATAATTTAAAAAACCAGAGTCGGACTTGAAATTATTTTAAGTAATAATTAAATAGTTTTGTTGTTGTTCAGGTACCCAAAACAAAAAAAAGTATAAAGTGTGCATATCATTATACTCAGGAGACCGAGTTCTTTCAAAAACTGAAATAAAAAATGCAGGTCCGTATTTAAAAAAATTAAGTTAGCCTCTGTATCTCACACATTATCAGCTAATTTAAAAATTTAAAAATACTGACAGATAGCTGCAATAAAGTGGCTATGAGAATGTGCAATTAGTTTTTTGGTTTCCTGAAAAGTAACGACAGGAAAAAATAAAACTGATTTTGAAAAAAATCAGTTTTTTCAAAGGTTTTCAAATCAGTTTTTTCAAAAAATAAAACTGATTTTGAAAAAAATCAGTTTTTTCCAAAAAACTCAGCAATCCTTGAAATTTTTAAAACTTTTTTGATGGCATCTTGGTGAACATCCCAAGGCGGCAACTTTGCCCCAATTTAACCATCTTCGTATCTATTACGGTTTCCAAGAATCAATGCTCGTACCTCGAATTTGTAGCACCCTGTATAATTACTTCCAGGATATTACTTTTAAATATCTTTATATTATTTGGGCAACGTTGGAAATTGATTAAAAAATTATTTGTGAATATCTGAAAAAAATAGTATGTTCTATTCGGAGTAAAAATTACTTTTTGTGGTTCGCCTATAATGTCAAGCGTACAGCCTCGCCACAAAAAGTTTATTTTTTAATCCTAATAAAACAGTCTGCTATTATTTAGAATCGGCAACATTATTTAGAACTAGCCGTTTAATCTGAAATTATCGTTTAGACACCGAATATTAACAGTTTTATTTTTAACCATTTTGATCTTAAAAAGAGCTTTTCAAAAGTTTAAAGTAGCAATTTTAATTAACCGTTACCAATCAGCAGGTTACACCCTAACAGTTGTTTTTTCGAAACTCATCAAGCTTCTGACAATGCCAGTCGAGCACTAATGCGATTCCAAATTAATTCAGTTCATACCAAATCAGAATTCAGTTCTGCTGAATGACACTCAACAGCGGCTTGAGGAAATAATGTTTTTTCAAATTCTCAAATTTTAACGAAATGAAATAATACAAAATATACGATGGGGGTTTTTTTGTGGCATTGTATTTAGTATCATCGTTGATTGAAAGAATTAGGAAGATACGCAACATAATGAACGAATCCCTGACAAGGCTGATTTGATTTCTCCTTACGTCTTAAGTGTTGTACGGTGGAGACACCAATTCTTTCGCGGCCAACGCATAAAACACTTATTTTCTCTAATTCGGCCAGCGAAGGCATATCCAAGACGGTGTGGAACTGAGAGCGACAGTGTTGCCATATTAAAATGTGTAGGTAATATCTGTAATCCGTTTGACGAAAATATCTTTGGATGAAAAATCCACGTTTATGTATTGAAAATTTATTGGTGTTAAACATAGAATAAACAACAAAAATAAAAATTCTATTATAGGTATACAGTACCTATAATAGAATTTTTATTGTCGTAGGATCGAAAAAAGTCGTTTAGTTGGCTTGGAAATGACGATTATTGACATTTATCATAATATTTTACATAGGAGATAATAGCCATCTTCATTTCCATGCCAACTCTGACACCGTTCTTTGTTTAATCAAATAATATTATATTAAATTGTTTAATGATATAAAATCCGTATTATTAATGTACTGTACCTAATCTGTAAATATACGGATTTGTCAGTAGTTCTGACAACACCGTCTCCGGTAACCACTCACTCTGTCGACTGAAAGCAGAACTACGGTACAGTATTCTTAATCTGCTGCGCTGTAAACGACTATCAGCGCGCAGCGGCACAGAGCTAAACTAAATCTCGGAATTCTCGGACAGGCTGACGGTAACGCCAGCTACATCTCGGACAGATTTTGTTCAACGAAATCGCTCATAAAGTTGCGCATCTTGTTATTTCTTCAATCCACGGTATCATCTTGGTTATTAGTCACTTACCTATTAAATAATGTCCATGCGAGATGTGCCCCCGTCAAAATGCAATATCGAAAGCCAAATCTTGCCCAAAGCAGCTTTATCAACATTTTGTTCTGTTTCCACTCTTGTTCGGTTTGGTCGCCGCATATCTTCGAATCGCAGTCGTCCGGGATAGCATAAATGTCTTTTTCTTGAAGATTTCCCTTAATTCCTCTCTTAAAAAGGCCGAAGGTATACCTACAAACAAAAATAGTTTCCAATTAGTACTTAATGGTTGTCGTATTTTAAAGTCTACCATTTTTTAGTATTTTAAATTCTATCTAATCAATCTAGAGTGCCATGGGTGTGCTAAAAACACTAATTTTTAATCAAGGAGCCTTGGAAAAATAGATTTGATCGTCTAGGGAAAGAGAGTTTTATTAGCATATTTGAAAAAAAGTATTTTTTACGAATAATTTGGTACCACACACTTGGTATTTCGAGTCAAATTGTCGTTATGAACCGCCTGTTACAATTTCAAATAAACCATATGCAAAAATGTCCAAAGTTGACATATGATATGTCATTCTATTCAGAATGTCATTTTCTACCGAATAAAGTAAAAAACGAGGCAAAAAAATACCGATGGTGCAATTTAAAAATCAAAAGTTGTAGTCATTTCCGGTGAAACAGGAAGTGTATATTAGTGTAAATTATTCGTAATAAATGCTTTTTCCAAATATGCTAATGAACCACCCTTGTTCCATTTGAAAAAATTGAGATACCATTAAAAATACGATTTGGGCATCTTTTAACTGGCCAGAATGTAATTTTCAGAATGTAATTTTCTATCGAATAAAGTTAAAAAATACCATATAAAAATCAAAAGTTGGAGTCATTTCCGGTGAAACAGGAAGTGACCAAAAACAATTGCATTTATCAATCAATCCTAATTTATGTCATCTACCAACATACCAAATCTCGGTTTTTTTATCTGAAAAAATAAAAAAGTTATAGGGGTGAGCCACTTTCGAGACACACCCGGTATATTATAAAAATCATAGATTAGATTAGATTCTTAGAGGTGGCTTTCGGCCTGATTCACTGCGACCTTCTCAGATCTATTGTGGTCCTCTTCTGATCCTTAGATTACATTCTCCAGTCCTATCCTTTTCACAAAGTTTAGCAACTTGGAGACTGAACCCTCCATGTAGCTCGTTGGCAATGGCCTATCATTGCCTATTACCGGGAACCGCACATTTGCCAGGCTGTCACACCGACATAAAATGTGTTCTGACGTTTCTTCTTCAGATTGGCAGAACCTACACATAGCTTCGTCTGTCAATCCCATCAGCTTTAGATGCCTATTTAGCTTACAATGCCCTGTTAGTAGACCTACTACAGCTTTGACGGTCTTTCTGTCCTTGCTTATTAAGTCTACCGTGAATTTTGGCGAATGTTCTACAATGAACCTTTTCGCCTGTCTCTGCCCTGGCGAGTTTCTCCACCATTCTAGAGATTTGTTGGCCACCCATCGTTTCGTGGCCATTCTCGTGACCGCCTTTGCAACGCCGCAGAAGGGTTCTGGGCCTATGAATGGCATTGATGAGCCTTGCTTGGCCCTTTCATCTGCCTTTTCGTTACCCTTGTAACCCTCGTGCCCTGGCACCCAGGCCAACGTAACAGTGCTACGTTCGCCCAAAGTATTCAGAGCACGCACACAGTCCCACACTAGTCTAGAATTGACCTCCGCGGAGCCGAGTGCCTTTAGCGCCGCTTGGCTGTCTGTGAAGATGGCCACTGAACGGTTTGTTCTTTGTTGCCTTATTATTTCTTCTACACAATAGTGGATTGCCGTTATTTCTGCCTCGAAAATTGTGACATCCTTAGATAGGCTTACGTGGAAGGATCTCCCTTGTTTCGGCCCTACTATCCCAGCTCCTACGCCTTCTGACGTTTTTGAGCCGTCTGTATACCAGGTTGCCTCAGCTTGAATGGGTACACCTTTACTCCAGTCTTCCCTTCCTGGTATGGTTATATTAAATTTGTTGTTGAAGCTATACCTAGTAGCTGTTGCATCAATTGGTAATCCCAATACTTTGTCTGCTTTTAGCTCTTCGATTAGCTTCTGGTTAGCAGCACTATGCGTTTGGCTTATGTGCTCCTGACCGTGATTTAACCTGTGCATGACAGATCTGGCTTCGCCTTGTATGAAAATATGTAGTGGTGTTAAGTTCAACAAGACTTCCATCGCATTTGTAGGAGTGGTTTGGTTGGTAAAAATCATAAATATTGTGTTAATTAAGATTAAAAAATAGCATAATTTTATTACAATACTTCATCAAATTCTCAATATATTTAAACTATTTTATTTTTATATAGAGTTTTCATAGAACACAAGCTTTAAAAATATTTATTTTAGGTACAAATTTCTTTTTAGATACAAATCTGAATCTTTTCTTCTTAGTCTGCCATTAGGTATGACGGATTCAGTTCTGCCATATTGAGAAACGTTACGTGATCAGAACTATAGGAACACTACAAAGTATAGCTTTAGTAGTATTGTTATTAAATCCATGACAAAAGAAAATTATAGCCAGGCAAGAGCAACATAATTTAATAGAACAAAAAATATTTTTTTTAAGTCAATTCTTATATCCACGAGTGTAAATCATTGCTGATATTATAGTTGAATTAACATTTTTAAGTGTAGATGCATTTGAATGGGTTTTTATTTAATTTATAAATAAAACGTTGGACAAATTGCAAAAGCAACACCGTAGCAAAGCAAATTACTTTAAATTACATCAATTTCTGTCATTCACAACATAATTTAACTATGTTTTTAAAAATAATATATTTAACTATACATATAACAGCATTTTTAATTTACATTTTACGGAAAGCCTCTCTACAAATCAAGTAATTTGAGAATCCAATTCTGAGGTCCATTTCTTCCAATCTATCAATTTCGGGACATTATATCTGCTATCTATATATTATCTGCGGTCTGCCAGTTTGAAAATCGTACCTCTCGTTTTTCATGCAGTACATGACGTCAATTTTTCTACATTTTTACATGGTATCGCTCAGTGAAAGCTTATTTTATAAGAAAAAATTTGGCGCCGGGAGGCACGTATAGCCGCCCATTCTAAAATATGTTAATAAAAAGTTGGTAGGCAGTTCTTTTAGTTTCAATCGCAGTTTTTTATCTCAAAAACTGCGACTTTGACTGATTTTGATGTTATTACAAATTTTGTTGCAAATATTATTCCTAATCTTAAATTGAAAACTGCGTTTCGCTAGCTACTGTAATTTTGGAGTTACGATTTTTTTAAATGTTTAATACCCTCCCATACCCCCCTTGCCAACCCCCCCACCCCCCAAAAAAAATAATGACCAGATTCTCGGGTGCCACAGTATTTTTGTGCCAAATTTGGTTAAAATCGGTTTAGCGGTTTTTGAGTTATCGTGTAACAGACAAACAGACAGGCAGACAGACACCAGATAGACATATTTTGTATTTAGGTCATTTATGATCCAAATAACTCATTTTGAGTGAAATTAAAAAAACCTTTTTTTGCCGATCTTAATAACCATACCAACAGGTATGGTAGGCTAAAAAGTCTTGAATTAAGATTCGATTTACTTGTCGATAATTTTGTAGGTGATCGGTTTAGTTTTAGTTGGCTTTCTATCCTCAAATTAAAAAAAAGATGTGTGTGCACTACGTGCGCATATTTAAAGTAAAACTTCTTATTACTTCCGTCTGTCTGTCTGTCCGTCTGCCCGTCTGTCCACCTGAAGACTCCATTTGGGTACCTTTATCCACGTGCCGAGTTTAGTTCCAATAAATATATTCCAATAATAGTATAAAGTATGGTCCTAAAGTTTTGGGAAAATTTTCATCTGATTTGGTTAAGTAATAAAATGCATTTAATGAAGTAGTCATAGTAATGAAATGTCATCATTCATGTCACTTCAATAAACAAAGCAAAAGATTTTGGGTTCTGCTTCTTAAAATGTCTTATAAAACTGATCTTCATCGAGGAGTTTATAATCTTGTTGGGCGAATGGCGAAACGAGATATTGTCGTCATTTATCGGGATCAAAACATTAGCAAATCGACAATTTATCGCACAATCAAAGAATGTGAAGAAGGTGTACATTTGCCTAAATCCTGTCGGCCGCGGGTTTTGAACCAAATAAGAGAAGAAAGACTAATTGAAGCAGCAAAACACAAAATTGGGATCTCACAGCGAAAACTGGCCAGGAGATTTAATATTGAAAAGACTACGGTGTTTAGAATCCTATCAAGTAACAATATTGTCTTCTAAAAAGGAGGAAAGCTCCAAAATATACAGAGGCCCAGCTAGAGAGAATTCCGAGATGTTGCCGCGCGCTGAGGAGAGTGCGTTTCGTCAACAAGTTGATCGTGATGGACGATGAGAAATATTTTACATTGTCCAACTCTGAGATGAAGGGCAATGATGGGTTCTACACGGACAATTATGAGAATGTCCCTGATGATGTGAGATTAAAAAGTAAGAAAAAGTTTGAGGATAAAATTTTGGTATGGTGTGACATTTCTGAGGCTGGCTTCACATCCTTACATTGTCGCCGAAGTTGTCCAAAGGATGATGCAACGCGTCAGGGGAATTCTTAGGCAAATCGAAAATAACGGTCCCTTGTCCACTGTTTGAATTTTATTTTATAATTAGGATAGTAAACATAGGTTGTTTAAAAATATGATAAAAATATAAAACTATTTTTGTAAGAGTTGTCAGTTTCTGAATTTTTTTCCCAAAACTTTAGGACCATACGTTAGTATAACATTTTTTAATTTCTTTCAGAGATATAATACTTCTTCTTTCTTTCTGGTATGAGGGCTGCTAGATATAACTTTTTTATTCTTTCAGATAAAAAAAACAAGATTTGGTATGTAGGTACATTCATTTATTCCTTCTGCCATTACCGCTGACGAGTATTTGACACGCATCAGAAGATGTTTACGCAAGGCGTTTTCTTTCATGAGCTTTTCTGTGACTGAAAAGCCCGATACGTGATGTTACCTCTCGTCCACACTCCGGACATTCGAAAATCTCATTACTTTGTTGCCTCTTTACTTTTTACTTCTGCGTCTTCCCACTGATTCAGCATGCTTATCCCCTTTTAAGTTTTCATGGAAAATATCTTTGTTTTGAGTTGTCCACCCGGTTTCCTCTTACCGTCTACAAACTCACCGTAAAGAAAACATTTCGGTAGGCGGTTTTCTTGCATCCTGCATACGTGACCAGCCCTCTTAAGAGGGATTTAGTAATCGTGATTTCAGCACTCTTGCAGCTAGATTTTTTAATGACCGATACGTTTGAGACATGGTGATACCATTTGATTCTTGACAGTTGTCTATAAGGTGTCTGTTACAACTTGTTTAATACGCTCATATGCCGGCGGTACGGCATCCAGCGCTTCCATATAACATAGTGGGGATTATTATTGCTCGGTACACTGCAAGTTTCGTTTTTGTGCTCAAGTCATGATTGTAGAAAACCCTGTCTTTTAATTTCCAGAATACTCTTGAGGCGCTGCTAATTCTGTGCTGAATTTCAGAGTCGATATTGGCCTTTTCCGAAATCTAACTGCCGAGGTAATTGTATTACGTTACATATCACAATAGTCTATGGCAGAAATTAGGGTTAATTGACGTATTAAATTATTTGCGTTCGCTTCCTGTATCACAGGAAGTGACTACTGAATAGTTCTCTCGATATTTGTTACTTTCTTCGATGGAAAATGATATTCTGAATAAAATGACATCTCATACGTCGACTACAGAATACTGGACAAATGAAATGAATGATGACTATGAAATATGTCTTAAAAAATAAAGTTATGGTTAAAAATATGATTTGAGCATCTTTTAACTGGCGAGGAAATGCCATGAAAAATTCCTCACACGATCAAATCTATTTTTCCAAGCTTCGTTGATTAAAAATTAGTGGTTTTATCACAGCTATGGCACTCTGGAGAGAAATTTAATATACAATTTTTTAATTTCAACCACCAATTATTGTACTAACCATAGATAAATAAAACAAGTTTAGATTGGAAAGTGTTCGTAAAGACAATGTAAATCCTAGATCATATATATTTACGTGGATAAATCAACGCCATAAGTTTAGCATTAAAAAATATGTCTCCAGCATCACGACAAGCCATTTTCAAATCTTCTTTATTGCACAGGATGTAAATACCGTATGATCGAAAAATAACGGCGTCCAGTTGGCTTGGAAATGACGATCGATGACATTTCCCATATAAATTTATATATAAAATGACAGCGATCTTCATTTGATAGCCATCGCTGACGCTGTTTTTATTCGATCATACGATATTTGGCGCTATTCTTGCAACGGTCGCGACCCAAAGCTTTTGATAATTTCGGAGCGGTTCGGCTTTTTCCGGAACGATGTCGCCAAATATATTATTTATTCAAATTTATTATTATTTTCTTTTAATTTTATAAATAGAACATAGTGGATTGCATATAAAAACCTTTATTTTATATAAGGACATGAAATACCTATGGAACATTGGAAACCGACGGTATGCCACGATCGATGGTTTTTGCAGTTTGCTCATTATCAGGAGTTTGAGTAAATAAAATTTAAACTAAACTTACAAGATAATTAATTTTAAGCTTTAGCAATAATTACTTTGAAAATGGACGCTTTACACACCTTTCGGTGTTTTTTCAATGCGGGCGGTTTAAATTTTGAAAGACTTATAATTTTTGAAGATTCTGACTTTGACAAGAGAAAATTATTTCTGTTCATGTTTGCGGTTGCTTTTAGCAACCTATAGCAAGCGCTATAGCAGCACCAGATCCCGTACAACGTATATACGTCCCAAAACAATTAGTGTGGGTTTACATTTGTTTACATGGATCCGTAATGCGTCGTGCGTCATTAATTTTATGCAATTTTATTAGTTTATTTGAAAAATGACAGATCATACTTAAATATGATTGGAGTGACGGAACGACCGACGACGCATTACGGATGCATATAAACTCATCTTTAAAACGTTTTAGCGGGAAGGCGAGCATTCCAATCTTAATTTATTTCCTTTATCTATGGTACCAACTTATTTCTTTGTAAAATAAAATAAACTACTATAAATTAGAAAAGTAAATTAGAATTTTTCAATTGTCAAAATCAAAGCCCACTTGATCATAAACCTTTTTGACTGATATACGGTACTTACGCAAAGGTGAAAAAGGAAAATAAGTTGGCTCTTTCCCTGGGATTGCTTCGTCGTTCTTCACGGGCGCCGTTATCCATCTTTTCTTATTTTTTTGAATTGAATGAAATGAGTCGCAGAACCTTAATATATCAGCTTGGGTGATACTATGCCATCATCGGTATAAAGAAAATATACACATTGCAACCAATTACTTTCAGGAAATCATAGCCAACCTGTAATAAAAACAATTATTTCATTTACATTGTTAAGGCAGTCTATTGGCAAAGATCGATTATCATTAGATTTATTGATTATTGGTTATGTAATGATCGGTCGTGACACTATTGTTCTGAAGGAGCGACCGTGTGGATCTCTGTATAGCTATATTTAATGTTTTTTTTGTATGCAATTATAGAATACAGAGAAACTATAAAGTTATTGATATGTTCAAAATGGATTTAGTGAATGTACTTATTTAATTATAAAAAAACATCAATGAGAAATTTAATCACAGTTAATGTTCTATAAATAAATAGCGTGTACCCGCGTGTTTGTTCGCGTCGAATTAATCATTTGTAATGGTGATGATAAAGCAAGCAAGCATTTCCATTAACATATAAACTGGATAAAATTTTCTCACATTTATGTCAGCATGAAAAAAAACAATATAGCGATATTATTATATAACTTGGTAATATTTGAAGGGTAGTTTCATCTCGTTGGAATTTGACTTTCGAAAAATCCATTTGCCAAAAATAAGCTTTTTACGTCGAGCAGTTTAAGCAGAATCGTGGTTAATCAATTACCCAACTTTTTGGAATACCCTGTATGAGTTTTTAAAAAATTTCAAAATATGTAAAAAAACAAAATAAATTATGCGTGGCCAACCGTTTTCCCGAAAGACTAACAGTTTTTTAAATAATAAATATTGTAATATTTGAGGGGCGTTTTCACCCTCTTGGAATTTGAGATTGGAGAAACCCCTCCTTGTCGAACCTCTACACCCCACAGTCGATTCGTTTGCTAAAAATCAGCTTTAAACGACAAGCAGTTTAAGCAGAATCGTGATTACTCAATGGTCATATTTAATGAAACACCCTGTATAAATTTTTAAAAAATCTTAAAATATGTAAAACAACAAAATAAAATATACATGTTTAAGAGTTTTTTCTAAAAAACCCACCAGTTTTTTTAAAAAATATATTCTAATATTTGAGGGATGGTTTCACCCCCTTAGAATTCGAGTTTCGAAAAATCCCTTCTTATCGAACCTCTATACCCTAAAGTCAATCTGTTTTCCAAAAATCATTTTTTTACGTCGAGCGCTTTAAGCAGGATCGTAATTAATCAATGACCAGATTTTTCAAAACACCCTGTATACATTTTTAAAAAATCTTAAAATATGTAAAAAAACTAAATAAAATATACGTGTTTAAGCGTTTTTTCGGAAATTTGACCGTTTTTTAAATAAAAAATATTGTAATATTTGAGGGGTGATTTCACCCTCTTGGAACTGGAATTTCGAAAAATCTCTTCTTATCGAATCTCTACACCCTAGAATCAACCTGTATGCCAAAATTAAGCTTCTTACGTTGAGTGGTTTGAGCAGGATCGTGATTAATCAGTATGTCAGTCACTTAAGGATTTTATATATTAGTATAGATAAATTTTGGATAAATGGTATAGCATTCTTTGTTTGTATTTGTATTTTCTGTCTGTGCCTATATTTTTAATCTTTAATTATTACCGAGTTACAAATAAAACCACAAAAGACATAGGATATTTTTGCTGAACCATCAGACTATCTGACACCTAGGTTGGAACTTGGCAAGAACTTCCTAGTCAGTATTCCAACCAGAAAGGAGTGGGAGACTCCCAAACTACTGAAGGAATTTGATATTGCGCTATTTACTGACGGATCCAAGATGGATTCAGGTGTAGGTTCGGGGGTGTTCTCGAAGGGTCTTGACATCTCAAAGTCTTACTGACTTCCGGATAGATCAGGTGTTGTCCGGGCAGAGATACTTGCCATTTAGAAGGCCTGTGAATGGTTGAGCGAGGAGACACCTTATGGGCGGAAAACTGCAATAATCACTGACAGCCAAGCAGCCATGTACGCTCTGAACTCATCTACCATATCCTCCAAAATAGTAAAAAAAAACGTACGACAAGTTATCCTATATGGCAAGTACGTATGAGATAGCCTTGCTTTGGGTTCCAGACCACAGGAATATCGAAGGAAGCAAACGCGCTGATGAACTAGCAAGGCGAGGATCGTGCTGCTTTTACTCACCTCAATACCATAAAAAACACATTTACCACCATTTCTGTCTATGGCAAACAGTAGATGGAAAACTTTAAGCACCTGCAGAACAGCAAGGAGAACTTGGCCCAAATACGACCTTAAGAAATCGGAAAAGCACATAACTAGTCGCGTAAGGATATCGCCAGGCTTACGGCGGTATATACGGGATACTGACCAATTGGCGAATATGCGGCGAGAATGGGCATCCCTTTAAAAAAGTTGGCCAAAGCTGCAAGTACCCCAAGAAAGGGGAAACGGTTCTGCATTTCCTGTGCCTGTTTTCTCGGTGGTTACAGCTTTGTAAATCTTCAAAGATGTTGCCGGGAAGAGCATAACGGAAGTCACCCGTTACCTTAATGCCACCCAATGGTTATAAACAGTTAACAGTCAAAAGTTTTCCATAGGGATAGGCTTCCTAGGGATAGGGTTTCAGAATGAGTGGTATCAAAACGGCAATTCTGCTAATTGGAGTTCGACAAGCGATCGCACTGGCCACTTCAACCAACCAACCAACCCATATTATACGATCGAAAAAGAACAGCGTCAAAGATAGCTGGGGAATGACAATCGATGATAATTTTGGAGAGGGCAAGCCCTAGACGTCATTTAATAGCGCTTACTGCTAGTTTGACCTTATAAGGTCAACTAATAAGAAGGTTGGAATTTATTATAAATGTATTGTAGGTATTAGAATTTTGATATTGTATGCACTGATATTTTTTTTATTTATTTTTTAAATGTTATTACTTCTTTGAAATTACGAGCAAATTTTCCTAATATGAACTAATAATTACATTTTTATTGTTTCTTAAAAAAATTTGTCATAATATATACTATTAATAAGTTCTTTTTTTGTTTAAGTTTTAGTATATATGTTGGAGGCAGATGCCGAATTTCGGCCAATGTCCAAAATAATTAGACATATGGCGATTTGTTCATACTAAACTTGCCAGGGGGTTAATGTTTTTTTGGTATAATATAACAACAAAAGATTTGAAGATAGCATAGAAATTGAAACCAATGCAATCAAAACTCTTCCGCGTAACTTTGTGGATATAGGTAGGTATATTTAATTATAATCACCATATGTCTAATTTTCGGCATCTGCCTCTAACATATATACCATTTTATTTTTTCAAATTGTCTTGTAATTGGGATTATTTATTTATTTATTTTTATAGTGAATAAAAATAATAGAGTTGTAAAAATTACTGTTAAATGGTGTAGTTTAAAATTAGAGAAAAAAATATTTTTTCTACGACTAGCCTAGAAAATGCATTTTGACACACTGGAAACTCGATCTGAAATTGGTGTTTTGCAAACTATTGTGTGCTAAGGATTTAGCGCACGACATGTGTCATTTTGCACACGACACGTGCCAATTTTAACATTTTTAACCTCCAATGTTTAGCTGAAACGCCAAACGCAACGCAGCCGTCAGAAAAGTGTCATCATTACATCGCAAATTATATCACAAAACTGACAGGAACTGAGTGTGTCTGCTGCTAATTTGTAGTCGTAGAAAAAATAGCGTAAAAAACTCGTTCGAAAACTTCTTTGTACACTCGTGCGACTTGTGGTTCTTGCCTGCGGCTCGAGCCTACAAACTGTCGAACTCGTGTGCAAAACGTCGTTTTCAAAACTCGTTATTTAATATACTATTTTAGAAATTAATTTTTGTGTGTATCCTTTTTTTAATCTTCCTTTAATTAGTGTTAATTTGTTTCAAGTTTTATGTCATTTAGTAAATGAAATCTAGAGATTGATTTCATCAAAATTATCATTGATTGTGATTAGCTAGTTGTCTTTGACGCCAGTTTTTTTCCTGATCATATAGTATTTTATCACAATAGCAAAAATGTATTAAGGATTTTATTTAAATTAATAACGATGGCTATTTCTTTCTTACGTTCTTTTGATCTATTGAAGGTTCTGTGAACTAGTTGATTAATACAAATGTATTATTTGATTACTCAGTACTAATCCCTTTGGTACTTCATAGACATCATGTCTAGAACAATAAAATAAGTTGAATTGTTATGCATTGTGTGGACAAACTTTTTTCTTGTCAAGAATAATTTAGATTTTTTTTTAATCACTCATTGTTAATATTGTTGCAGATATTAAAATATTTCTTCGACTATAGTGGACAATGTTTCGTTTAAAAAAAAAGGTTATGTCGAAATTCCAGCGTCTTTGTTTTCTAATTTCACACTTATGGCGGTTTTGGATAGATGCATTATCCAAATATATACTATATAAATATAAAACTAAACATTCTCTGCTACACAATTTATATACGGGGTTACACTTTTTCAATAAAACTATTTAACAAATTTCGATAACAACAAATTGGTATATTTTTGAAATATGGCTGTTTAATACCGAGTGCGGCCTCAAAAGTGGCTCGCCCCTATAACTTTTTTATTTTTTTCAAATAAAAAAAACAAGATTTGGTATGTTCGTATATATGACATAAATTAGGATTGATTGACATATTCAATTCTTTTCGGCCTGGAATGGCATCCTCGGTATTTTTCTACTTTACTCGATAGAAAATGACAGTCTGAATGGAATGACATATCACATATCAACTTTTGACATTTTCGAATATGGTTTATTTGAAATTGCAACATGCGATTCTTAACGACAATTTGACTCGCAATACCAAGTGTGTGGTATCAAATTATTCGTAATAAATGCTTTTTCCAAATATAATAATCAGTCACCCTCGTTCCGTTTGAAAAAAAATGAGATATGATTAAAAATACGATTTGGGCATCTTTTAACCGGTCAAGATAAGACACTATAAACATTACACGATATCAAATCCATTTTTCCAGGCTCCTTGATTAAAAATTAGTGTTTTTAACACAGCCATGGTACTCTGGATCGAATTTTAAAATACAATTTTGTTTAAAGCGAAAA